AGTGCCTACAGATTATTCTTTCTTCTAGAAAAACCAAAGGCAGCCTGAGAATGAATTCTGTCTCATCTCTGCCTTGCTAATATTAAAAGCATCCTAACTCCAGCTGCAAAAATATCTGGGAAATTGAGTTTTTAGCTTTTCAGCCTCTGCAGTAAAGAAAAGCACACTAGCCCTGGCCAGTTTGGCTCAGCGGTCAGAGCGTTGGCCTGCGGTCTAGAGAGACCTGGGTTCGTTTCCCACTAAGGGCACGTACTTCGGTTGCAGTTTGTCCCCTGCCCTGGTTGGGTTGCGCGGGTGGCAGCCACTCGATGTGTCCCTTTCGCATTGATGTTTCTCTCTCTCTCTCCCTCCCACTCTATCTGAACAAAAAAAATTTAAAAATGTCCTTAAGTGAGGATTAAAAAAAAAAAAAAGAATAGCACATTAGAAGGGGAATGAATGTTAAGCATCAAGCTGTTTTATGCCCTAAAGTAACACTAATGGATCTTGAATGAAGTGAAGGGGAAGAAAAATGTAGAGCTAATCCTCATATATATTGAGTTTGAAGTGGTTAAAACTGAATTCATTATTGCTCTACCCTCCAAACTATCTCCTTATCTGGAATTACCAACTTCTATTAAAACTGCCACAATTCTATTATTTATCTCATTTAGAAATCTGTATGAGTCCTGTATCTATGTGGCATCCAAGAAATATTTCTCAATAATATAAATGTTTTCCTACATTACAAAAATAGTATAAACATATAATTAGAAAAACTATTTGTCATCTTAGAAAAAACTCTGTACTGAAATGAAAATTATAAGGTTAGCAAATGAAATCATTCTGACAGAGCTACTAATATCACTTCTATAGCAGTGAATTGTCACCATTGTTTTCTGTCCCAAAAGACATACATCATAGGAGTAACTAAAGTTACTAGAGAAGAGAGTATTTTTTTATGGAGTTTTCATTTTTAAAAGGGCTCTATTATAAAAGACCCAGTGATCCTGCTTCTAGGAATATACCCTAAGAAGCCTGAAACACCAATCAGAAAGAATATATATACCCCCATGTTTGTAGCAGCACTATTTACAATAGCTAAGATCTGGAAACAGCCCAAGTGTCCATCAGTAGACGAATGGATAAAAAAGCTGTGGTACATATACACAATGGAGTACTACGCAGCTATAAGAAAGAAAGATCTCTTATCCTTTGAGACTACATGGAGGGACCTGGAAAGTATCATCCTAAGTGAAACAAGCCAAACAGAGAAAGACAAGTTTCATATGATCTCACTTATTTGTGGAATATAATGAACATAACAGACTGAGGAAGGGGGTAGTCCCAGAGACGCGGAAATGGGATACAGACTGACAATCCCCTAAATAGGGGTGGGTGTAAGGAAGAAATAAACCACAGAACTTATATGCATATATGCATGAACAGTGGACATGGACAACAAACTGGGGAAAGGGCAGGGAGGGAGGGGGAGGGGGGAATCAGTGGGGGGAAAAGGAGAAACATCTGTAACAAAAATTAATTAATAATAATAATAATAATAAAAAAAAGACCCTTGTTCCATGCTTGAATACCTTGCTGGTGCTCAATAAATATTTAGTGTTGAATGAAAACATGTACCTCAAAAGCAAAGAGAATTTTTAAAGTGTTTTAAGCAAGAGAATGACTTAAAGAGATTGATTTTAAATGAATCAGAGAAGAAAAAGAGTGGTAAATAGACTGCTTAGAAGCCTGTTTTAACTCCAGCTCAGAAGTCACTTAGCCCATCCCCTCATTTCATAGGTTAGGAATCTGTGACCCCAGAGAAGTTAAGTGGTTTGTTCAAGGTCTCAGAGCTGGTTAGTGCAAAACCTGGCTTTTCTCCCTATGCCCAAACACTTTTCCTACTACATTTCCTAACCTACAAATTCATTATTCAACACCTAAAACTTGAGCTATCTGTAAGAGGACTTCCATTGTAATGGCACAGAGGTACAATGACACTAGAAATTGTGGACAGATCTAACTGATTAATAATGTTTCATGAGGATTTTTGCATTGTGAAAATTTTTGTTTTTTTCTTTTTGATTGTTGCTTTGCGGGTTTTTTTGTGGATTTTTTGGAGACAGTATTTGAACTTTGGTATATTAAGGATTAATTTGAATTGCAAATCAGCAAACCAAAGGAACTTAACAGAGGTTGATGAACTGGCTTTTCTTTAATTTTGCTTTTTATTGCTAAAAATAAGAAAAATATTAATTAGATCATTATTTCTCAAAATATTCCCATTTTTACATTTTTTTTCCTGTCATACAACTCTCTGGCCATAAAGCCAGTGACTGCTTTTCTCATATTCCAACCACTAATGATTCCCAGCATCCCACCTCCCTCACTGCTGCTGCTTCTTTTTTTTTAATCCTCACCCGAGGACATTTCTCCATTTTTTGTTCAGATAGAGTGGGAGGGAGAGAGAGGGAGAGAGAGAGAGAGCGAGAAACATCGACATGAAAGGGACACATCAAGTGGCTGCCACCCACACAACCAACCAAGGCCGGGGACTAACCGCAACCGAGGTACGTGCCCTTAGCGGGAACCAAACCCGGGTCTCTGTGGGCCACAGGCCGACGCTCTAGCCGCTGAGCCAAATCAGCCAGGGCTGCTGCTGCTGCTGCTTCTTATTTCTCTGTTCTCAGCCCTCCTTGTACTTCCTTTGAGTGCTACACCAGCTACCAGCTGCCAAGAGGTAGATTTGGTCACTTATCAAAAGGTTTTCTTTTGGCATTTAACTCATTTTTTATTACATTGAAACTAAAAAAAATAGTAGTTTTATCTAAAAAAATTAAGTTGGACTTAGGTTTTATCATTTGAAGATTTGAGTAACAGGAAGAAGATTGAATATAACATAAAGACAAGGCAGTAATTTTGAATCTTCAACTCCCTATTTCTGTTTTAAACTGTATTCATTTTGATAGTACACTTGAACGCTCTTCCCTGGTTTAGTAATAATCAGTCTGTATCATTGTACTTCACCCTGTAGACCATTTGGCTTCCCATATCTATGGCTGCAAATGCAATGGAAACTCCTGCTGGTGGGGGAAACCATGTAGTCTCTCCATTAGAAAGGGAGGATCAGCCTGTAGGTGCCTGGCTTGTTTTGATTCCTGAGAATAGGCTGGTTTAATTGTGGAGAATGCTGAGGCCCAGACTACTAAATCAAGAGTTTTTCTGAAATACTGAGTGTGAAATAGTAAATAGTGTAATATCTCAAGACCCCTGCAAAACAAAGCAGAATTTCTCCCAATGTTCCCTTCCTCCATTATTCTTTTTACAGGATTGAGCTAAATCCAGTCTCTCAAGGACCATTTCCCACATGGAACTATTAATTGCAGTATGGCCCTAGTGTAGCTCTAGAAATCGTACTAGAAAACTGTAGCATCAGTGATCCAGAGCTCAGAAAGGATAAAAGAACAAAATTAAAGTTTAAAATGTATAGCTTTCTCTGCCAAACTTATTTTGCCAAACAGCCCCTGGTAACACGTGGATCAAATGCTGAGTTTTATGCTTAGTGGGCCTTCAAAATGGACATGGGATAAAGAACTCCATTTTTCTTAAAGTTTAAACAAAGCTCGATCCTGAAATACAACAGAAATAGTCCGAATAAAAGTATACTATGGCCCTGGTCGGTTTGGCTCAGCCGTTAGAGCGTAGGCCTGCAGACCGAAGCGTCCTAGGTTCGGTTCAAACTAAGGGCACGGGCCTCGGTTGCGGTTTGTCCCTGCCCTGGTTGGGGTCGTGTGGGTGGCAACCATTCAATGTGTCTCTCTTACGTTGATGTTTCTCTCTCTCTCTTTCCCCCTCTCTCCCTCGAGCTCTATATGAAGATAAAAGCAAAAAAGAAAAATTTCTATAGAGAATGGCAGCATAGGTAAACGCGGTATTGCATCCTCCAAATACCACATCCAAATTACAGCTAAACTACAGAACAATCATCATTCAAAACCACCTGACATCAAGCTGAACGGAAGTCCTACAACTACGGAATTAAAGAAGCCACATCGAGACTGGTAGGAGGGGTGGAGGCGCAATGGGCTGGTCCCACACCCATGTGTGGCAGATAAAAATCAGGAAGACACCACGGTGGGAAGGTCCTCCCTGAGGACTGAGGTGTCCCCGTCCCACACCAGGCGTCCCACTCAGATTTCCAGTGCCAGGAAGAGGAGTCCCCATAACTTCTGGCTGGAAAAACCAGCAGGAACTGAGGCTCAGGGAGGCTGAGGCGGCTGGAGCCCCAGGCAGCTCCTCTTAAAGGGCCCGTGCACAGACTTATTGGACTCACTCCCTCTAAGCTCAGAGGGGAGGCAGCTCGAGGGGCACCAGAGACATACAGGGAAGAACTGAGCTGTTTGGCATTGGAGCGAGGGCTGGAGAGGGGGCTTTCTCAGGGACAAACGTGCTGTCAGAGGCCTTTGTTCCTTTGGTGAGCCCTTCCCTGGGGCGGCAAACAGCTGCCATATCTGGGACTCCAGCAACCTGGCTCACACTGGTTGCCCTACCCTGGTGATTTATTCAACAATAAAGATTTTAAAAAAAGAAAATTTCTACAGGAAAAAAAATGTCCTTGGGTGAGGATAAAAAAAAATTTTTTTTAAGTATACTATGAATTAATTTTTAGTAAGTGGAGTTAATTCAAGTCATGCCTTCTGGGGATAAAAGTGGACAGCAATTAAAACAAAAAGAAAACAAATGTGACCTTGATGTCTCCTCTAAAGTCCATAATCTCCAAATTGGTTTATTTCATCTTCTGGTGATGCTAATCTTCTGTTTATTTTGTTATTGTAATTCTAAGTACCTGTAGTTTACTCAAAGATTGCTTTCTTAAAGTTATCTATGCCTGTTTTTCTTACCCCATAAAAAGTAAAGGAAAGAAAGTATGTGTGTGTGTGTGTGTGTGTGTGTGTCCTGTTGGTGGTTTAAAATCGAGTTGGGACTTCCTCTTTGAACAGTTGCCTTTTCCTCTCACACAAGGTAGATCTCATTTTGCTTGAGACTGGATACAGTTGAAACCAAACCACACACCCACGAGAGGGTATGATGGCTAAAAAGCCCCCGAAACCAGCCCCTCGAAGGATCTTCCAAGAAAGGTTAAAGATTACTGCTCTACCCTTATACTTTGAAGGTTTTTTATTAGTCAAGAGGTCAGAATACCAGGTAAGTCCAACGATAATGTTAAACTAGAAGCTTCAATCTTAATACATTTATTTCATGGTGGTGTGATGTGACAAGGACCTCCTTGTTTCTGTTGGGATGAAACCCTTTTCCTGGAGCTCCGAAATATTATTCCAATTTTGCATAACTTAAATAGAATGTATGGCTTAAACATACGTGTATATATGTATGTACTGTACAGGGGTGGGCAAAAGTAGGTTTACAGTTGTTCATATGGAAAAATATACAAGAGTAAATAATAGTATAAGAATAAACTCTGACTTTCACGTACTCACAATTATAAACCTGCCTCCGCCCACCCCTGTATATAATAATATAAGATTCTAATATTAAGTACTGAGATAAAAAAAAAAGTTCAATAAGCTAAATTTCCAAAGAATTAATTTACACATCACAGAAGATTTTGGCTTAATAGATTAAATGTTTCCTGTATTTTCTCTGCAGTTTACTACTATTTCCATGATGACTTGTATCATTAAGATAAAATACTGTGATTGAAAGTAAACCTGCTCCTATTCTCAGTTGTTTGAAGTTTATTAATAAGGATCAAATTATTTTATAAAGTGTTAAACTTTTGTAAAAAATTGTGAAAATGATTAAAGTGATGCTGTTTAACATTATGTATAACAATATGTTCTAAAAATACTGTTCAAAATATTGAGTTTAAAAGATAATATTTAAGGTAATTGAAACATTTTAAAAAGAAAAAAAGATAATACTTAGGGTGCTTTGTGGGTGGTATGTACTCCACATGACATAAATATACTCTGTAAGAAAATTCACAAAGTGTCCCATATTTAAAAAATGTAAAAAGGAAAACATAGCTAGTTAAAATCAGTGCTTTTAGAATAGTAATTGTACATCATTTGAAATTAACAAGGTGAATAAACACAAAGTGCATGTTACTAAAGAAGAAAATCACTAACAGCTCAAATTTTATGAAATTATAATAATAGAAACTAGAAAAAATGTAAGTATTTTAAGATATGCCATAATAAGTGTTTAATAATATTTTTCTGTGGATTTATTATTACATGGAGAAAAATTGTATATGTGAAAACTGTAATAGTACATATTTCTTGCATAAATAATCAAACCATTTACTATTTGAGAGTAAAGACATGGTAATTTGTATTCTGTTATGAGTGCTAAACATGTATTTTTAATATTTGTCAGTTACATTGGAATATATTTTGCTTGATCCTATATGCTTTAAAAGTGAATTCAGTCTTGTCACTATGGGTTAGCCACATTGTTACATTTTGCCAGGAAAGAGGAACTGGGGTAAAGCAATTTCTAATTTAAATTTTATCATTCATTGATTGTTTTCCAAAGTATTTATAATAACTGTTTCTGATACCAGACTCCTTTTCATGTTTAAAGAAGGCATTCCATTGGTATGGTTAGGAGAAAGAACAAGGATTTTAGAGTGTCAGTAAAATATGACTTTACCTGATGGTTTTCTTACTCACACCTTATGATTTTATACAAGTTACTCGATATCCTTGAGACTTGATTTCCTCACCTATACAATGGAGAGGATACTACTTGCCTCCCAAGGTAAAATGCTGGGGATACAGTAGGTGCTCAATCTATTTATTCATTCAAGCAACATCTATTGAATACCTCTTATGCATCAAGCATCACACTTAGTTCTGGAGAATATGAATAAAACACAAAGACCCTACTTTTAAGAGACTAAGTTTAGTAACCTTACCCAATTACTACTGTACCTTTTCTTAGAAAGCATGCTTTGCCCTGGCCGGTGGGCTCAGTGGTTAGAGCATCAGCCACACACCGATTGGGTTGCAGGTTTGATCTTGGCCTTGGTCCTGGAGCATGAGGGAGGCAACTAATTGATGTCTCTTTTTCTCTCTCTCTTTTCTCTCTCTCTCTCTCCCCCCTCCCTTCCACTCTCTATAAAAATTTTTTAAAAACTCAATGGAAAAAATATCCTTGAGTTAGGATTAACAAAAAAGAGAGAGAAAGCATGCTTTGAAATGGAAAGAATACACAATAGGCATAAACATTTCTGATTGAATTAACTTGTGTTTCCACTTGACTTCATAGCAAAGTATCTTTTACTTGTATGTCAGGGAGATCCTTACAGTAACTCTTCTGGATAGAAATTATTTTATCGCATTCACAGATAAATGAACTGTGGCTCACAGATGTTATGATCAAGGTTCCTCATCCAATAAGGAACCTAGTTTGGATTTTTTTTTTAATTATTTATTTATTTTTTTGTTACAGGTATTTTACCTTTTTTACCCCATTGGCACCCCCCTCCCCATCCCACCCCCGCCACGTCCCCGGCTTAGTTGTCCATGTCCATTGGTCATACATACATGCATATAAGTTCTGTGGTTTATCTCTTCCCACCCCACCACCCCCTCTTCTGAGGGATGTCAGTCTGTGCCCTACTTCCATGTTTCTGGGTCTACCGTATTCCTCAGACTGTTATGTTCATTATATTCCGTATATAAGTGAGATCATGTGGTATTTGTCTTTTTCTGCTTGGCTTATTTCACTTAGGATAATACTTTCCAGGGCCCTCCATGTCGTCTCAAAGGATAAGAGATCTTTCTTACCGCTGCATAGTACTCCATTGTGTATATGTACCACAGCTTTTTTATCCATTCATCTACTGATGGACACTTGGGCTGTTTCCAGATCTTAGCTATTTAGTTTGGATTTTATTGGCAAGCACTTGACATCATCATGCTGCCTCTCAAACTAAAGTTCTAATTCCATTTGATCATGGGGTTCCAAAGGTTGGGGATATCTAACCACTAAATTCTTTATCATACTGAGTTTAATGGTAAACTCAAATCAAACAGTTGTATAATTGCATGAAAATGAGATAGTGACCTTAAACTCTAAATACAAGATCATATAATGACTATGAAGCTACCAATAAATTCAATAGTCCTATTTCAGTCCCTTCAGAGACTCAACATAAGTGATTGCTAAAAAATAAGGAGCTTTGCCCAGCCGGTGTGGCTCAGTGGTTGAGCGTCGACTCGTGCACCAAGAGGTCCCTGGTTCGATTTCCAGTAACGGCACATGCCCAGATTGTGGGCCCGATCCCCAGTCGGGGGCATGCAAGAGGCGGCCAATCAATATTCTCTCTCTCTCTCTCCCTTCCTTCCTCTCTCTCTAAAATCAATAAAGAAAAAAAAAAAATAAGGAGCTTTGTGCTACATGTATTTTATTCAAAAAGATGTCCCTCAAAATTAATTTTAAAAATATTTACATACCTTTGTAGATATAAATATATACCTAGATGTTGATTATTGAGAGTGATATTTATATGACTCAGATTATACTAGTATTCATGAGAGTTTATCTGAAACTAAATCAAGATGTGACACACGGGTCTCTCTCTCTCTCTGCATACCGAAGGTAAATTTGATTGATCTTAGGTTTGTAGCTGTGGTTGGAGTTCACAGGACCTATTGTTACTTGTAATCTTATTTTTCCTCCAGACTGCCTTTACTCTCAACTCAGTGCCTTTGTTCTTGCTTCTTTCCCTGTTTAATAAATCCTCCTTAATTCCTTCCATAAAGCTATAGGTTCATTTACCAGTAAAACTCCCATTTTTCCCTGGTTAACACTACCCAATTCATATCATTCTGTCATGACTGAACAACTCTGTAGTTTTTCTCAGGAACACGGATGGATGTCTGCATGTACATACAGAAGAAAATCAAAAAGAAAATCAATAAACCTTGACTAGCTATTAGTCGCTGTAGTTTTTCTGTCTGATGGTAGGTTAGTACTAATGAAGCTAATTAAAAAAATAAACATAGCTGGACTGGTGTGGTTCGGTGGACTGAGCATCGTCCCATGGACTGAGAGGTCCCAGTTTGATTCCCAGTCAGGGCACGTGCCCAGGTTTCAGGCTCGATTCCCACATGCAAGAGGCAGCTGATCGATCTTTCCCTCTCACATCAATATTCCCCTCTCTCTAAAAAATCAATAAAAATATTCACATGCTTACCTTCTTCCCTTCCCTTCCCTTCCCTTCCCTTCCCTTCCCTTCCCTTCCCTTCCCTTCCCTTCCCTTCCCTTTCCTCCTTCCCTTCCCTTCCTTTCCTCTCTCTCTCTCTTTCTCTCTCTCCCCTTCTTCCTTCCTTCCTTTCTTTCAGTTTACAGAATATCCTCTCCTCATATATAATCCCATCGAAAGAGATCTATTTTAGAGATTTTTTTAGATGTCACAGTGTCTGTCACACACACATACAAATCACCATATATGGATAATATAAATGCAAAATACCTGTTAATAATGTGAGTGAGGAGGCAATGGTTTTTTTTTTTTTATTTTAATTTTATTTTGTATTGGTTTCAGGTGTACAGCTTAGTGGTCAGACAATCCTATGCTTTACATAGTGGTCCCCTCATTATTTCCAGTACCCCAACTGGTGCCATATATAGTTATGACCATGTTATTGGCTATATTACCTACGCTTTACTTATATCCCTGTGACTTCTGTACTTCTTAATGCCTTCACTTCTTTCACATAGTCTCCCAACCCCCCTACCCTCTGGCAACTATCAGTTCTCTTTCTGTGTCTATGAATCTGTTTCAATTTTGTTTGTTCATTTATTTTGTTCTTTAGATAACACAATAAGGGAAATCAAATGGTATTTGTCTTTCTCTGACTGACTTATTTCACTGAGCATAATGCCCTCTAGGTCCATTCATGCTGTCACAAATGGTAAGATTTCATTCTTTTTATGGCCAAGTAATATTCCATTGCATATATGTACCACATCTGTTTTATCCACTCATCCATTGATGGGCACCAAGTTGTTTCCATATCTTGGCTATTGTAAATAACACTACAATGAACATAGGGTGCATATATTCTTTCAAATTAGTATTTTGGGTTTCTTCAGACAAATCCACAGGAGTGGAATCACTGGGTCATAAGGCAGTTTCACTTTAATTTTTTTGAGGAAACTTCACACTGTTTTCCATAGTGGTTACACCAACTAGCAATTCTTTTTGTTGTTGTTGTTGTTAGCGGCCAACATTTATGGAATACTCACCATGTTTCAGGTCCTATGTGCTTTACGTACATTATTTCATTCAATCTTCAAAAACTCTTTGAGGCAATAAGAGGAGGCTGGTTTCCCTACCTTAATTCTTGGTCCCTTAACTGTGAACTCTCACACACAAAAAAACACAGTAGTTATTATTATCAATATTGTTATTACAATTCAGTGTTTTTAATATATTCACAAAATTGTGCAACCATCTCCACTATCTAGGTCTATAACATTTTTGTCCTTCTAAAAAGAAACTCTACTAGCAGTTATTTCCACCTCCCCTGGCCTGTGCATTTCAATACCTATTTGTTGGGACTTTTCCTTTCCCCAGCTTCAAACCATTAAAACATGAAGACACAGGGATCATACAAATGAATATCAATTAGTTACTTTTATTATTAATCTAATCTATCTATCTATATGTGGCTTAGATTTAAGGCCAAAACTCTGCTAACATCTTACCTTAGATGCAAGTAGCCTTGAGCTACCTTGAGTCACTGTACAGGTGAAAGGCGATTGTGACGCCAATAGGGCTGCAACCTGTATAAAAAGAGGAAGACATCTGATGGGGCTGAAATGAGGTTTGGGCTCTTGCTTATTAAACTGCTTGACTGCGATGTGTCAGGTATATGTTGGGCATCTGGATTTCAGACAAGAGGAAGAATCTCTTTGCCCAGTTTTATAACTGCTCCTTTGGGGACCATCTGTTGGCTGCACCTTCTATCCTATGCCCTTTGGAATTGTTCTTTCCTATGGGAACTTGTTCTTTGTCAATCTGTTCATTACTTTACATGTGGGCCAGCTCTCAATGGGGAGGTAGGATGGAGTGGAAAGACCACAGTGCTCGGACAAAGAAACATTGCTCCAAGTTCCAACTCTGCCCCTGAAGTAGATTGCTGCAGTAATACTACCAATTTGTTCAAGCCTCAGTATGCACACTCCCTTTTGTAATGGGACTTTTCTGCTCCTTCTATAGAGAGGTTCAGTCTAGTTTTCTACTGGTTGAATCTGGTCTGAGCCCTGCTTTGGTAAACATGACACAAGCAAAGGATTAGAAAATACTCACACATTGGGTTTTGCTCTCTCTTGCTCCTGGGAATCCCTCTGCCAATATGTGAACAAGTCTAGGCTGGCCAGAGAATGAAACTGTGTGGAGGGAGACTCCAGCTGGGGTGTTTCCAACACCAACAACCATTTCCGATTCTCTGGTCACCAACTGGTTGTTGAACAATTCAGTTCAATTCTGAAAGTAACTACCTACCCAGATTTAGTGCAGAAGCCACAGTTTAATTAAGGGCTCAATCCCACAAGACTGCCCCCCTCAACCCCTCCACCATAACTTCAGTCACCAGTTGCAAGTCCCTGGCCTCCCACACTTCTGACTGACTGGCTATAAATCAGGGGTTCCCATGACCCCCTCCTAAGATTAAACAATTTACTAGAATGGCTTACAAAAACTCAGGAAGACACTTTCCTTACATTTACAGGTAAGGAATGCAAATGAACAGCCAGATGAAGCTGTATATAGGGCAAAATCTGGGAAGGTCCCAGGTACATGTGAGTGTTTCTGTCCCTGTGAAGTTGAGGTGCACCACTCACTCAGCATGTGGATGTGTTCACTAATTAGGAAGCTCATCAAATATCATTGTTCAAGAGTTTTTATGAAGTTGAATCTTTAGTCTCACCCAGACTCCTACTCCTTCTTGGAGGTCAGTGAGTTGGGCCAAAAGTTTCAACCTTCTAATCATTTGTTCTTTTGGGGACCAGACTTATCCTGAAACTCTCCATGGGTCCCATCTCAAGTCACCTCATTAATGTGAACTCAGGTATGATGTAAAGAGGCTCATTATGAGTAACAAAAACACTTCAATCACTCAGGTTTTGGGATCTCTGGGCCAGGAACTGGGGGACAGGGACCCAATATATTTCTGATTCCACCACTCCCAGTTGTTCTGCATTCCCAGCTAAAACCCCAGGCAAGTAAGTGAGGCCACCCTAGACCATTTGGTCATAGCCAAATATCATCATTTAAAGAATCATCAGCCAGCCACAGATTGATAAAAAATGGAAACCATTTACTCTTTAGTCCACCAAGTTTTAGGGTAGTTGTTATACCGTAAAAGCTGACTAATATAGCCCCTCATCAGCCATGAAGACAAAGGGAGAAAATAGTTTCACTAAGAATATGAAAAAGATGGTTGTAATTCAGAATGAATTTCACCTTGAGCTTCCTGGGAGCCAAAGCAAATAAAAACAATGGGTTATAGAGTTTCCATTATTTGAGAAAATGAATACAAACATTTTGCTGATCAAAAAAGGGATAAATGATGTGTCAGTATTAAAGAAAAACAAAACACCATAGTATAAAAAGTGGCTTCACATTTATAATCAAATGAAAAAATTTTCTTCATGTGATTTTCTTACCTTAATTCTCAATATAAATTCAGCTAATCCAGCATGTTACAAAAACTCAGTTTATTAAATCCTAAAGGAAGAAATGATCAACGTGTTCATGAAACTGACTAGAATTTTTTAAAACATACTTTTGCAAGAGCTGGGTATGAGGGTAAGTTCTTAGATGTGGAAGGATTTTATTCTTTAAACCCTCCTGTCATTCTTTTGTAATACAATCTTCATAGAACATAAGTTTCCTTTAATTAAATAAACTTTTACTTGGGTGAAATGAGAGTCTGATTAGGTTATTTACATTAATTAATTAATTAATTTCTTTTTGTTAATCTCACTTGAGAGTATTTTTCCATTGATTTTTTTAGATAGAGTAGAAGGGAGGGAGGGAGAGAGAAACATCAATGTGAGAGAGACATTGATTGGTAGCCTCCCACATGACCTGGACTGGAGCCAGGGATCCAACCTGCAACCCAGGTACATGCCCTTGACTGGGAAATGAACTCAACACCCTTTGGTCCACAGGCTGACACTCTAACCACTGAGCAAACCAGCCAGGGTGATTAAACTTAAAAAGTTGTATTTCTATAGAACCCATAGCAATGAGAATATATTAATAATAAAATGTTTACCACATGAATGAAATTTGGACTTCAAAGTTCAGCTTTGATGGTGTTACTTTTACTATTATCGGTTTTTCATGTTTCCTTGATCTATATAAATATATACTATTGAATCCAAACTATGAGTCATGTACTATGGTATGTACTTAATATGTATTAATTTATTCAATCCTTTCAACTGTCCTGGAAGGTAGATATTAAATGCTTGTCCTATGTCTTATCCTGGACCCTTAAATGGCCCCTCTTACAGGTGCAACTTCCACTGAAATTGCATAAAAATCAAATGTCTTAAATTAACGAGGAAAGTTTTAGTAAATTATCTATTTGAATACAGATCAAGTTACATCCTTACCTCACATCTTTTTTTTTATCCTCACTCAAGGATATGTTTATTGATTTTAGAGAGAGGAGACAAAACCATTGATGTGAGGGAAACATTGATCAATTGCCTCCTGCACACACCTCAACCAGGATCAAACCCACAAACTAGGTATATGCCTTGACAAGAAATTGAACCTGCAACCTTTTTGGTGTATGGGAGGATGTACTAACCGAGCCACCCGGCCAGGGCCTAACCTTGCATATTATATTAAAATAAATTTGTGAAGAGTTTCATTGAGAATTAAATGTAAAATTAAGCCATAAAAATTAGATGATTTATCTCAGGATAAAGAAGAATCTTATATCTCACAGCAGGTAAGAAAGTTACAAAGTAAAATATAAAAATAAAATAGGAAAATAGTTGAATATCACACTGATGCTTATGATTTCTTTCCCACAGGGATACACACGTTATTGGACAGAGTTGAGAGGAACTACACTTTTCTTTTATAATGACAAAAAAAGTACAATAGTAAGTAGTTATCATATTCAGCCAATTCACTTTTTTTTCCAATACACACTTGTCATATAGTTTATTATTCATTATGATTTTCTGTCTTCCAAGAATAGAAATGTTCTACTAAATCCGCCTCAAATAAGAATATTTATATCTGTGAGGGCTATTAATTATAAGAACAATAGTAGCAAAATTTTCTGGGCAACTCAGAAGAAGGTATTAACTCATATTTTAAACTTTGCATTCTTTCTCATCCTGATAATAAAACTTGGTTGAAAAGTAGAAATTTTAGCTATAAACCTGGACACGGTGCCTAATGCCAGGAGATAACCTTAATTTCCCCTCTTTAAATCTTGCTGTCACATGGAATTATAACCTGAAAGGAACTAGATGATCCCCAAAGCCTCACAACATACAATACATCACAATTTGTTTTTTTTGGGAAAGACAAAAACATCCACCACCAATGAGGACTTGTAAGAACTCAAGCATGAGAAAAACAATGAAGGGATTCTGATATTTATGTATTCATATTAATTTCAAATAATTGATATGCTTTTCACATTTTCCACACAAAAAAATTGAAAGGTGATTGTGTATTTCATTCTTCCCCACAAATAAAGTGTAGTATTTTAGTAGCAAATGCTTGCTTACCTTGAAACACTATGCCTATGATCCAGTAATTTGGACCATGCATGTGGTAGCCCATACTCCTTAAAACATCATTATTACACATCCAGATCTTATGAAAGAAACAGAAAAAGAGCCTGTATTCCACCTGCAAGCAGTAGTGGTAAACTAACCACAAGTCATTAAAAAAAAAAGGTTATCTTTCACCAGACTTCTGGGTTTATATAAAGGTGTTTTCAAATACTGTATTAAATTTTAACAAAACTAGTTTCTCTGTTGTGCCTTCCAACTTCCCACTGATGTCAGTAAAAATGTAAAGACCCTGGTCTAACCCTTGTATAATACACATTGTAAGTGAGAGAGTTCATAGTTATTCCTCACTTCAAGAGGCAGTATGCTTAGTGTTGAGAGCCTGGTCTTCAGATAGACTACCTGGGTTTTTATTCTGGTCCTGCCACTGTTCACTGTGTCTACTTGGTATCTTGGGCTACTTACCTAACCTCTCTTCATCTCAGTGTATAAGAGGGAACTGGCAGGAAACAGTTGACTTCTCAAATTGGGCAATTTGAAGAGAATTTAATAAAGATGCAATACTCAAAACAGTGGACAGGATGTAGGAAAACCACAAAGGATAGTATAGAACCCTGAGGCTAGTAACGTCTAAGAATACAGGAAAGCATGGCAGAATAGTGGGGAGAGTTGTATGAAGACGACTGCTTTGAGAGGAGTATGATCTTTGATTCAGAGAGCAGTTCATAGAGTCATAAATACCTGACTTCACTCTCCTCACTCTGTCTTCTGCCATTGTTCACCAGCAGTTCAAACCAACAGAAAGTCAGAGGGTGAGGGTGCTCATAATGCTGTCCATATAGGGCCCTACCCTGTTGCATAGTGTTGGGGGATGAACGGATAAACGTGAATCTAGAGGAGCACATAAAAGATTTCCAACACACTCAGTTTCAAATCTCTGAAATTAGGAAAATATAGCCTCTTATAAGGTTATCAAAAGGATTAAATGATAGTAAATGTAAGGCACAGAGGAAGCATTCATGCATTTTATGTGTATTACCTCATTTAATTCTCACAACTCTGCAGAGTAGGTACTACTTTAACCCCCACTTTATAGAACTTAGTAGTCAAGTTTAAAGATTAAGAAATTGTACAAAATCAGAGAGCTAATGGAAGGGGTACAATCCAAGTCTTGCAGCATTCTTAACTACTATGCCATGAAGAAACTTATAATAAAATGGTGCAGAATTGCCCATCTACCAATTGTATTAAAAAAGAATGTGGAATTGCAGGGGGTGGGGTGCGGGGGACAGTCTCAGGAGAAAGCCCAGGAATGGAATAGGTGAGAACTGTAGATATTCAGCCTATGAGAGGGGAGAATTTCAAGCTGCATTTAAATATTTGAAAGGCTGCCCTGGCCGGTTTGGCTCAGCAGTTAGAGCGTCGTCCTGCGGACCAGAAAGTCCTGGGTTCGGTTCCCGCTAAGGGCACGTACCTTGGTTGCAGTTTGTCCCCGGCCTCAGTTGGGGGTCGTGTGGGTGGCAACCAGTAGATGTGTCTCTCTCACATCGATGTTTCTCTCTCTCTTCCTCCCTCTCTCCCTCCTCCTCTGAAGATAAATGCAAAAATGTCCTCGGGTGAGGATAAAAAAATATTTGAAAGGCTGTCAGAAAGTCATATGAAAGAGTTACTGAATTTGTTTAGTGTTACTAAGAGAGTAGGACCGAAAGATGAAAATTGCCTGAAGGAAAACTGTGACTTAATACAAAAATAGTAGGCAAAGCTGCATAGAGGCATGAGTTGCATGTTGTTTGAGATGTTCATAGGCTGGATTGCTCCGTGGAGGGATAGCCTGAAGGAGATTCAAGCATGCTGGTAGCTAGATTAGACAGACAGATGACCTTCAAGGCTCTTTTCAACACTACAATTAAAACAAAAAGATATGACTTCCTTTTTTCTAATCAATAGATCAGCACTATCTAACTGGGCCACTTCTTCCTTACTTGCTTCCTCTGGTCTCAGCAAAATTCACTGAGCTTAATCTAGACAATACATTAGAAAAAAGATTCTGGTGTAATTTAAAATTCTGTCCTCCCCTTATATTTCTCCTACATTTAATGCTTCTTTATTCATTGAAAATAAATAGCCAACCCAAACTTATCCTCAAACTTATCAATATAGAATAGCTCCGGAAATTTTTTTTTTTTTTATCCTCACCCGAGGACATTTTTCCATTTTCTGCTCAGGTAGAGTGGGAGGGAGAGAGAGGAACAGAGAGAGAGAGAGAAACATCGATGTGAAAGGAACACATCGAGTGGCTGCCACCCGCATGACCAACCAGGGCCGGGGACAAACTGCAACCAAGGCACGCGCCCCTAGCGGGAACCGAACCCGGGTCTCTCAGGACCGCAGGCCGACGCTCTAACCGCTGAGCCAAACCGGCCAGGGCTGGAAATTTTTATTAATGCTTTTATGTCCTACTTTATTCAGAAAAATAATATAAGACTTATAAGAATATAGTAAAAAGTTATATTAAGCATAAAAGAGAGAAAAATGAAAAGAGATTAAAAAGTTTAAAATGAAGTTAATTTAGCAAAAACAAAATTATACCCTAAAAATGCTACAATCCTTCCTAGAGGTAGTTCTAATCTTTCTAATACTAGAGATCAAGTCTGGCTAGTTATATATAAACTGGCCTATATAGACTAATTCCTCAGAATAAATATTTTTATTATACTGTGATAAGATAGTAATTTCTTAATAGGATCCTCATAACCAGTAGTATGTGATAAGTGTTAAATTACTTATCACATACTACTGGAAAAATATATGTATATAAATTTACTATAAATATTATTTACACAAAGAATGTGTAGTGCAAATACATAATACTCTATTGTAATTTTCATATAAGCAATTGATTCTCATAGAATGTTTTTGATAATTTTTCTGAACTCATATCCAAATTGCAATTCAATCATCATATGACAAATGGAGTTGTTTTCCAATATGCTGTTTTCGTAATAAATTTATTGTCATTAAATATAATAGTTGACCTTTATGTTGGCTAATATTTTTGCTTACATTAACAAACAAATAAGAGGAAAGTAAAACAATTATGTATGTCAACACTTCACCTATTTTTCAATGATGTGAGCAACCTCTTTGCTAAATAACAGTTTTTGAATTATAGAATAATATTTTGTCTATTTTTTGTTTTGTTCAAAATAAGTTTCAGACACAAATTCATCTGCATTATTAACATTATCTCTTTCACTTTCTTAAGTCTAGATAAGAAGCCAGCGAACTATAGCCCTTGAGCCAAATATAGCCTGTGGCCCAATTTTATATACTATAAGCTAAGAATGTTTTTATACTTATAAAGTATTGTTAAAAAAAGAATTAGAAGCCCGGCTGGTGTGGCTCAGTGACTGAGCATTGACCCATACACCAAGAGGTCACCGGTTCGATTCTCGGTCAGGGCACTTGCCCAGGTTGTGGGCCAAATACCCAGTGGGGTGCGTGCAGGAGGCGGCCAATCAATGCTCTCTCTCATTGATGTTTCTATCTCTCTCTCCCTCTCCCTTCCTCTCTCTCTAAAATCAATAAAGAAGAAAAGAAATTTTTAAAAAGAGAAGAATTTACAAGAGAGACTGTATGTGGTCCATAAAGCCTAAAACATTTGCTATCTGCATTTTGCAGAAAAACATTGTTGGTCTCTGGGACAATTATAAAACAATAAATCAAACCCTAATTTGTAAGTTTTGTCAATTACCATGGTGTAAATACTCCCACCATGGCTGATTTCAATCTATCATGTGACCACACTGAAAATGGAGGTGGGAAGAAAGGCAAGGTAGAACAACATTATATAGTATTTCCACCACACGGAAATGAAGATGTAAGTAACTTTAAGAGCATATTATGTGGAAATATAATTAGAAAATAATAAATTTTGAATTTCAGCTACCTTTGTTTTTAATTAATTATTTATATGTTTATATAATTTAACTTTTAATAAAGGTTATATTTAAGAACCAGCTAGCCCTGGCCGGTTTGGCTCAGAAGTAGAGCATCAGCCTGCAGTCCAGAGACACCCAGGTTCAGTTCCCATTAAGGGCACGTACCTTGGTTGCAGTTTGTCCCCGGCCCCGGTTGGGTTGTGCGGGTGGCAGGCATTCGATGTGTCCCTTTCACATCAATGTTTCTCTCTCTTTCTCTTCCTCTCTCTCCCTCCCACTCTATCTGAACAAAAAATGGAAAAAATGTCCCCAGGTGAGGATAAAAAAAAAGAACCAGCTAGCAAAAATCCCGAAAGTGTAACAAATCAGCTTTTGCAAACCGGTATCAGCCAGCTCCAGCAAACCACCACATAATACATTTCCACATCCCCTCTGGGTTGGGGAGGGGTGACATATTAAAAACCAGAATATCATGCAAAGTATAAATCAGTTGAAAGGAAGACATTATTTACTTTCCTTCCTACTAAAACTAATGTATGTTACCCGTGAAATAATTTAACGAGATTTTTCCCTTTATCTTTGCAGTATGTTGATAAGTTAGACCTAATAGACCTCACATGCCTTACTGAGCAGAATTCAACTGACAAGAATTGTGCAAAATTCACCCTTGTTTTGCCAAAAGAAGAAGTGCAACTGAAGGTGAGTGAGGAGAAGCAATTAGTTTGAAACAAGTGGTGGTTATAAATAGCATTCACCTCTTCACAGCCTACTGCCCGATTTAAAGAGAAAATTATGGGAGTGCTAAATTCTATACTTTGTTAATATTTCTTGCCTTTTGCCAAGAACTACAGTTTTCTAAACAGGGATTTAAAAGTGCATGTTCACTTGTTTAGTATACAAGCACAGTGAAACCATACACTTTGTCCTGTGACAAAGTCAGTGATCCCACCTGGTGTTTTTTGAAAGTTGTCCTTGAATTGGTATTCAAAAATTTGGCACTTACTAAGTTCCCAGGTGATTCTGAGACATGTCCAACATGATGCATATTTGGAATTAGACAAACCCATATTTCACAAATTGAGAAACATTCTGCAAGGCAGTTGGCCTATACTCTTAAGAGCCAAAGAAAGACAGGACACCTGTTGCAATTACAGAAACCACAGTCATAACAACTAAATGCAACATGTGATCTGGTTTGGAGCCTGAATCAGAAAGGAAAAAAACAAATACACAAAAACCCAAAAGCTATAAAGAACATTATTGAGATAATTAGAAAAATTTGAAGAACTGTATATAAGATATACACAATTTATAAAACATGGTATTAAAATTTATTAATTAAAACTCTAGACTCCACAACAGCAAAGATTTGTACACCCAGCTTTCAAAGTGAGCCAGCTAAGTCAACCACTATAGTAATAACAAAGAGAACAATTTGGAATTCAATAAGACATAGTTGGAGTTGACTTTCAAAGCACTGGTCATTAAGTGTTAGTGTACTACGAATCACTTATACTTAGGAAATCCACGCCCCACTCCATAAACCTGGGCCCCAGAATCTACAGATGATTCTGATGTGCTGGTTAAGAGCACAGGCAGGACTGGCGTCATATGCCTAGGCTGAATTCTAGCTGTTTTTTTCAGTAGTTATGTGATCATGGGCAAGTTACTTAACCTCTTTGTGCCTTGGTTTCTACACCTGATAGTAAGTCTGCTCAGATGTAACCCTCTTACTGAGATCTACCAGGACTACTTTATTAAAATGGCAACCCTTTCCCCGTCCATAGCATTCTCAATCTCTCTTACCCTGACCTACATTTTATTTTTTTCATTTATTTCCTTCTACACTATAAAATTTACTATTATGTTTATTATTTATTGTTCCTTGCTAGGCCCTAAACGCCACAAGAATGAGGATGTTTTTGTTCTCCAAAACATTACTGGAATAGTGTCTAGCACTAAAAGGCACTCAGTAAATACCTGTTAAATAAATATGTAAAAAATTGATATTACCTTTTGCTGAGTTGCCATGAGGATTAAATCATCTAATACATGTAAATAGAATAGCAGCTGCTACTGATAAGCACTGTAAGTTTCTAAGGACTAACTACGTCGGTTCTACCTGGCTGCCCCTAATTTAAAGCCAGTCAGTATTAAATACCAATTGGGGGATTAACCAAGAATTGACGTACTGCAGATATAAGTGGGCTAACATTTAAAATTTTTTGATTTAAGTAAATTGGCATAATTTCACTTGTTTAGTTAAAAACAGATTAAAGCTATATATTCTGTCTTCTGATAAAAGAAAGCAACACTGAAGTAATTCATACCAAATACACATTAATAGTTCTAAACAAAATTAGAAATGAATTGTTTATTCCCTGCAACTGATTCTAAGTGGTTTAAAAAAAACTACAATTGACTTTTTAAAACAATGTGCTTCCATAGAAGAATACGCATTTTTGATAATCTTGCTGATTTTTCATGGCATACATATCTTGAGTTTTTTTAAAACAATCATGAAATTTGGAAGTTATTTGAAGTTAATAAAAGTATTAACACTCATAGTCATCATGTCTTTTCTTCTTTATCGTTGTTTGTTTTTGTCTTCATCTTTAGACAGAGAATACAGAAAGTGGAGAAGAATGGAGAGGCTTCATTCTTACAATAACAGAGGTAGGAAGGACATTACATTTTATTGATTGTTCATTCAACAGATATTTACTGAACATTGACTATGAACCATGCAGGGTAAAAGGGGTTGAAGATAAAGCAATTGAAAAAGATGTATATATAGCCCTGGCTGGTTTGGCTCAGCGGTAGAGCGTAAGCCTGAGGTCCAGAGAGACCCGGGTTCGGTTCCCGCTAAGGGCATGTACCTTGGTTGCAGTTTGTCCCCGGCCCTGGTTGGGCTGTGTGGGTGGCAGCCACTCAATGTGTCCCTTTCACGTCGATGTTTCTCTCTCTCTCTCTCCCTCCCCACTCTATCTGAACAAAAAATGGAGAAATGTCCTTGGGTGAGGATGAAAAAAAGAAAAAGAAGTATATATAAACCTTTAGACTTACTTGTGAAATTTTTATTTTTATCAGGTGGATGGAGAGGGAGAAATAAACAAGTAAACAAGCAAGATAATTGTGATTATTGCTATAAAGAAAATAAACAGGGCCATGTGCTAGCTAGCAAATAACAGGTGGTCAGGGAAATCTATGTTTTGGTACCATCCTTTTGACAAAGTGGTCCTTTGTATATTCTGATATTTTAGCTTACATAGCATCTTCTAAAATACTTTCCGAATTCATTTAATGCATATTTATAAAATGCTAACTGAGATGGATTTTATAAATAGCATAAACAATCTAACAGGGAGGGACCATCACAATAAAACTCACTTTGAAATGTTTAGTGACTCTTAAGACAGAGGGATCCTGTTCTGTTCAACTCTGTGTCATCTTATCTGAGATCAATAGTAAGATCTACTGTTTACGGTTTGTTATTGCAGCAAGATAGCTACCATTATTTTACATTAAGCCACTGTAGCCTGGCCAGAGTGGCTCAGTGGATGAGCATCGACCCATGTACCAAGAGGTCACTGGTTTGATTCCTGGTCAGGGCATATGCCCAGGTTGTGAGCCAAATCCCCAGTGTGGGGTATGCAGGAGGCAGCCAATTGATGTTTTCTCTCATCAATGTTTTTATTTCTCTCTCCCTCTTCCTTCCTCTCTCTCTAAAGTCAATAAAGAAAAAATAAAAATAAAACCAATAAAGAAAAAACTTTTAATAAATAAAGCCACTGTTGCAATTGTATTAGAAACATGAAGTACTTTGATAATCAGCCCCTAAAAGAGCCCATATTCTCTATAATACTTTTAGAGGATAAGGAAATGTTCTGTGTTTATTAGGGTAAGTTAAATAGACTCTGTCCACATCCAGTTCCTAAGTCAAGGCTTTGTAGTCACATGAAATAAGCACTGCACTTTACTGAGACGATGGATACTGGGTCTTTATTTTAGCCAATAACGTGTAAAAGTTGGAGGCTCGACTACCATATGGGTAAGTCATAGGCGGCTTAAAAAGTAGGCCGGTTACAGATGTGAAATCATGTTGACTAGGGGGGGAGGAAGACTCTTTGGGGAATTGCATTCTTTTCCTCCTGTGTGGAGAGGCAGCATCTTTGCCATGGCATTTCTTACACTGGGGAACAAGTATCCCAGTGATACCTGAGCAGGTGTCAAGGTGTACTCTACAACCACTGGATGCAACTTCAGGGTGCATCTTTCTGGTGCTCTAATTATACTTGATGTTTCGGTCCCCAAATCTTTTTATTTTTTTTCCTTGAGGAAAGGATAAAAAGCATTAATTTAAAACTAAAAATATACAGTATACTACCGAACATAAAATTTATGTGAATTTCCAAAAGAAGACAAGTTGCCTTAAATTTTATGTTCTATAAATGCTTTTTGCACAACAAACCCAGATCACTCTGTGCTGTTGTTAGGAGAACTTTTGTAGAAGTTTGAGAAACACAGACTTTCATAGAAAGAGCTGAGATGTTGCTTTTGAATTGAATGAAGAAAGTGGAGTTTGAGTCTTGGTTTACAACTTACTGGCTTTGTGATTTGGAGTTGTTTAATCTTTCTGAGCCTGTTTTTTTTTTTTTTTCTCATTTGTAAAGTAGGATACCTATCTTGTAGCATTGTTGTGAGGATTTAAAAAACACAATGCTGGGGACATAATAGGTAATTAATAAGGAGTAGCCATTTCATTAGTTTTTCCTCATTCAATTATTTTTTCTGGATTGGTATGTTAGTCTTACTGATTATTAGCTTAGTTATTCAGAAGAATATTCTCTAAACCTTTTGATTGTGTACACTTATTAGTAAATTTTTATTTTGAATTTCATATATATATGTACATGCACATATGTTTTTAAATCATAAACAATAGCCTGGCTGGTGTGGGTCAGTGGTTGAGCATTGACCCATGCACCAAGAAGTCACCGGTTTGATTCCTAGTCAGCACATGCCCAGGTTGTGGGCCAAATCCCCAGAAGGGGGCGTGCAGAAGGCAGACAACTAATGTTCTCTCCCATCGATGTTTCTATCTCTCTCTCCCTCTCCCTCTAAAAATAAATAAATAAAAGATTAAAAACATAAAATATGATATAAACAATAACATGAATTAATCAGATATCAGTAAGTAGAAAAATTCCTTCCCAATGTACTTTATTATGCACCCCCTGGAAAGCATGTACCCTACTCTGGAGATCAAGATGTTAATCAGACATGGCTGCCTCAAAATGTAGGCTAGGTCATGTCACATAAAGAAAATATTCTACCATTTAGATTATACCTTCCAAGAGCACATGGCTGGCTATAATGCGGTCTAAATCAGTGGTATAAATGTAGATCAGGAGGATATAGGTTACTCAATCCAAAATACATCTCTAGAAAAGATTTAAAAATACTAGTAAGTAGAGCAGTAACATAATTTTAATGTGTGAATAAAACTATGAAATATAGCCCAGCCGGTGTGGTTCAGTGGTTGAGCATTGACCCATGCACCAAGAGGTTACCGGTTACTGGTCAGGGCACATGCCCAGGTTGTGGACCAAATCCCCAGTGAGGGGCATGCAGGAGGTAGCCAATCGATGTTTCCATCTTTCTCTCCCTCTCTTCTCTCTCTAAAACAATAAAGAAAAAATAATTTAAAAAACAACAACTATGAAATATATGCTCAAGCATACCAAAATATAGACCTCTAATTGCTGATTCTCAGTCATTCAATGAATGGTACCATGTCAACCCCATGTTGCCATGTGGTTGGTGGAGATAATTCTAGGTTACCTGTGGGAGAGCTATGCACTTTGCACGTGCTCTGGGACGTCCCTGGCAGTGAGAACAAGTACACTCAGAATGAAAATATGAGAGATCTGTTGTTAGGTGAATTAGCCTGCAGTATAAGGTGAAGGTGGGTGTACTTTGCTTTGGGGTTAGAACAAAAGGGACACCCTGTGCAAATTCTAGTTGGTTTAGAGGCTGTTCCAGGACACCTACCCTACAACAAGATTGTTTATTCGTAATTCTACCCATCCATCTCTGTCAGGTAAATAAAGTTCCTTAGGACCAGAACAGGCTCATCTTTGCTAAAAACGGGTTATCTTGCTGTCTTTCTTGTTTGCTCACTCTTTTCATTGGTTTTAGCTGTCAGTTCCCCAATATGTGTCACTCCTTCCTGGACAAGTCATTAGACTGCATGAAGTCTTAGAGAGAGAAAAGAAAAGGAGAATTGAGACAGAGCAGCTACCGAGTACATCTCTGGAAGATGAGAGGGAACCAATGGAAGATTATGTGGATGTACTGAATCCTATGCCAGCGTAAGTGCACCATCAACTCAAGTCTACCTGCTAGGTTGCTAATGTTATTTCTATTTATGAAGGAGAGTCGGTCCATGACCTCATTCAACCAGGGGCAACAAGCTGTCTTATGTATAAACAGCATATCGGAGTGCATGCCACATTTCCTCTTCTGTGTCATGATCAACCAAATGCAAAATGCGGATTTGAACCAGCTCTCGCACCACACAGGAAATCCCCTTCCACCCACACTTTCAGACCAAACAGATATTCTTTCCAAAGTTTAAACCTAAATAAAAACTGCTATGAGGAAGGAAGGAAATGATATTTTTTCACCATGCAACTGTCTGATGGATTCTGTCAGAAAATTATACTAACAAATTAAAACACACATAGTCATATATATATATATATATATATATATATATATATATATATATAAAACACATAGACACAGCCCAGCTGGTGTGGCTCAGTAGTTGAGCATTGACCCATGCACCCAGAGGTTGCCGGTTGATTCCCGGTCAGGGCAATGCCCAGGTTGTAGGCCTGATCCCCAGCGGGGGGCATGCAGGAGGCAGCCAATCGATGATCTCTCTCATCGATGATTCTATCTCTCCCTCCCTCTTCTTTCCTCTCTCTCTAAAAAAAAAAATAAAAAATAATAATAATTAAAAAAAACCCACATAGACACAGACAACAGTGTGGTGCTAGCTAGAGGGAAAGGGGATTGGGGGGTGGGGGGTGGGCAAAGAGAGGGAAATGAAGATGGAAAGAGACTTTACTTTGGGTGATGGGTGGATGAGGCAGCATGCAAATGATGTTTTGTTGAGTTGTACATTTGAAACCTGCATGATTTTCTGAACCAATGTCACCCTAATAAATTCAATTAAAAATAACTGAATGTTCTATCCAATTGTTCAATCAGTGAGTACTTTGAAGAAGCGTGTAAGGTGTTGTTGGAAAAATAAAGAACATAGAACATAGAATATGCTGAATTCAGCAATATCTTACCTCTACTTTTTACTGTTATATTGTTAAATGTGTGACTAAGATTGTGAACGGCTCCCTCCTGGAATCTTGGTCAAGTTCTCATCAGTGAAACTTGTCTCAATACCACCTTTGACATCAGGTTGTGAGTTATGTTCTTTATGTAATATAACCACTGAAACCTGCCCACCATAATTTTTAGCTGAAACCAATGACTGATAAGTTAAAAGTCACAGACTGCTTATATTTCTTTTGTGCCCAATAAAACAATATATGTTTTTACAGATGTATAAAAAGAAGACTAAAATCATTTCTTGTTGCATAACTCAAAGACATTTGCTGTTAACATTTTGGTGTATTACATATCCTGCTAGATACTTTTCTATGACTATATATTTCATTTATTACAATATGTACTATAAAAATGAGAAGTACTTTCGTAAACATTTTACGTGTAAAAACACCACCAATGTTATATAAGAAAGCCATATTATACCAAAAGGAGTGAGTTAAGACATATCCTTAACTATGAGTTATTTAAAAGAAAGACTATATAAGAGAAGAATGTATAGAGACATTTTGTATCTCTGGAAAGAAACCACCAACAAATACTATTTATCCAAGAGCCTATTATAATAAACTGAGATTGGAGATACATTTTTAATTCTTGTCTTAGATTTTCAAATGGTTATGGTGATTATATACTGATCACTAGACAGCTTTTCAGGCCCCCTTTGGTTAGAGAAAGAGGCTTTGGAGGGATGAGGGAAGGAGGGCCATAAGCATACACATACTCATAGTAGCACAGGCTAAGTTATATCATAACCGTAATAATAAAGCTGGGAATTTTAAGAAAAGTTAATAGCCGCAGTTTTTAAAGTTATTTTAGAAGCATTTTTTCAAGTAATGATCTTTATCAGTTTTAAAACACTCTACTTTTTATCTCGCCTCTGTAGATGTTTTTATACAGTGTCTCGGAAAGAAGCAACTGAGATGCTTGAGAAGAATCCTTCATTGGGAAATATGATCCTGAGGCCTGGTAGTGACAGCAGAAATTTCTCCATCACTATCCGGCAGGAAAGAGAGTATGTTTAATTAAAAAACATATGGAATTATTAAAAGCATGATATCACTTTAAAAAGCAAAGTCATAAAGTTCAGATCAGTATCTGCTATGAGTTTTATTGGGACTAAAAATACAACCACAAGAATAGGGAAGGAGCCCTGGCCGGTTTGGCTCAGCAGTTAGAGTGTCTGCCTGCGGTCCAGAGAGATCCGGGTTCAGTTTCTACTAGGGGCATGTACCTCAGTTGCAGTTTGTCCACGGCTCTGGTTGGGTCATGCAGGAGGCAGCCCCTCGATGTGTCCCTTTCACGTCAATGTTTCTCTTTCTCTCTCTCTCTCTCTCTCTCTCTCCCCCCTCCCTCCCACTCTATCTGAACCAAAAAAATGGAAAAATGTCCTCGGATGAGGTTAAAAAAAAAAAGAATAGGGAGGGAATGCTATATAAGCTATGCTAAAGACTGAGCCAAGGCTAATATATGCAGTAGGGAAGAAGAATGAGAAAATTACTTTGGTCCTGGATCTAGTTCAATGACTCATTCATTGCAACAAATATTTATTGAGCAATTACTATGGGCCATACTTGTATGGAGACACAAACTTCTAAGGAGACACAGACTGTAAATAAATATATAACCAAAAATGCCATACATATGTTAATAGGCCTATGGAAGTAAAATAAACCAGGATGAGGGAAATGGGAATCTCAGAGGTAAGACAGAAAATTACATGTGTGGTTTGGTAATACATATACTAAAATTGGCATGATACAGAGATTAGCGTGGCCCCTGTGTAAGGATGACATGCAAATTCGTGAAGTGTTCCATAATTTAATAAAGAGAGAAAAAAATTGTCTAGTTACTCTTGTTTTAATATAGTGGTCATGTAAGGCCTACTTTATTAACTGACATTTAAGCAGAAACCTGAAGGAAGTGAGGGAACAAACCATTTCAATATCTGGGACAAGACTATTCCAGGCAGCAAGTACATATGCCCAGAGGCAGGAGACTTGCTTTGTTTAAGAAACAAAGAGGCCTTTGTGATTGCCGTGGAGTGAGCTAGGAGACAGTAGTAGGAGATGAGATTCCTGAGGTGGGGTAGGTGGGGATTGGTCATGCTAAACCCTACAGGGTCATTGTGGGGACAAGGGTTTTACTCTAAATGACACAAGAGGCCACTGGAGTGTGATGAGTAAAGAAGTGACATAATCTTGTGTATCTCTGAAAAGGACCATTTAGGAGCCTCTTGTCAACGTTAATGATTTCTTTCTGGTAAAATGGTATGTTTGATCAAGTAACATTTACAAGCACAAGTTGATTTTTCTATGTAACTAGGGTGGCTGGATCTTTTAAGGTTACTTCAGCTCTCAGAGTCTTTGAAAATGTGCATTTCAATAGGACCTCTGGCTTAGTTAACATTTTCACAACTGATAATGTAATTAACATATAGAGGTGTTTGTCTTATATGAAAATATTCTATAAGTGATTATTTTTTTAAATGTTTTATTGATTTTTTTTTTTTTTTTTTAGAGAGAGAGGATGGAGAAGAGAGAGAAAGATAGAAACATCAATGTGAAAGAGATACATCAATAAGCTATCCCCTGCATGCCCCCCACAGGGGATGGAGCCCGCAACCCCGCAACCCCGGGCACGTGCCCTGACCAGGAACTCTTAGTCCATGGGAGGAGGCTCAGTCCGCTGAATCACACTCAGCCGGGCCCATAAGTGATTCTTATTCAGAAAAAAGCATAAACAGAACTTTGATTTTTGAATTTTTTATTCTTTCTGAGGGTAATATTCTTTTTTTTTTTTTTTTTTTAGCTATAACACATCTATCAGTGAATCTATCTTCCAGTCTACTATGAAAATCAATAATTCTAAATAAGTTAACTATGAAGACTGATAACAAATAAAGGCAGTAAAAAGAAAACAATCACAGGGAAAAATAAAATTATGCCATTATGGCTGCATCGCTAGTATTAGCTAAGGTCTAATCATCTTTATTCACTTGCCAATTATTCTGTATACAGTAGCCACATACACTAAATAGCTGGCAAGAATGTCAGATAATAAATCCGATCCCGGTTTGTGGGTGAAGTAAGAGAACCTGTGTGTGTTTATGTGTGTTTTCCACAATGAATAGCTATGTCAACTTAATCTTTCGTTTCGTTATTTTTTTATTAGAGGCTAACATTTGTAATTATGAGTTTCAACTAATACAGTAGAATACCATAGGTTATTCCGTTGTAATTTATTTATCATTTGATTGGCTATCCTGAAACAAATCCAACATAAATAAAAATTATTATGGCTATTAAATATCAGTGAACTTAGAACTCCTGAGAGAAAAATGGATTTTTCTGTTAAGTATATCCTGATCGAGATTATTCTCTTTCAGGGTTTAGGAAATATATCACATAGAATGTCATTAACTGTTTACTTCCACTTAAAAAAATAAGAATATACAAAACCACATTAAAATTTTTCTTGCAGATTAAAAAAACCTCCAAACCATCCAACTACTTAAAAAGTAAACTAGATCACACAAGAGAATGATAAGCTTTTTTCCTTCATATTATTTTCTTTGTTGGATTGGACCTTTGATGGATTTGCCTCTGAACCCTGTGTTACTATTCTGCATGAAACAAACAAAATCCTGAGTCCTGCTGGCTCGTCAAAGACTGTATTCCTTGTATAATAGCAGCCAGGTCTCTTTAAGGTAGTTTACACTAGCCCAACTTTTGCATTGCACTTTCTGTACAAATGAGCTATGGGAAATACAGTTTTTTTCTGCTGTAGATGTAATTTTTAACCAAATGCAAGTAGTTTCTATACTTGGAATATGAATTTAATGCCACAGCTTTTACTTGTGTGTGTATTGTATTTAAACTCATAAGAGTCTGGCAAAGGAGTTCATTTCAAAGTTATGTATTTCTCATTTAAGTACACTCACTTCTAGTTTGAATTCATATAGTTCATACTTTTGTACAGCTGATGGTCATAAGAATATAATATTTCAGTCTTAGTCATTTTGGCTCAGCGATTAGAGTGTTGGCTTTCAGAATGGAGGGTTGCAAGTTCAATTCTCAGTTAAGGGCATGTACCTGGGTTGCAAGTTTGGTCCCTGTTCCTGGTCGGGGTCGTTCCTGGTCGGGGTCGTGCAGGAGGCAACCAATTGATGTGTCTTTCTCACATTGATGTTTCTCTCTCTCTCTCTGTCTTTCTCTCTCTCCCACCCTCCCTTCCACTGTCAAAAATAAATGAAAAAATATTCTTGGGTGAGGATGAACAATGACAACAAAAAGAATATAACATTTCATAAAACCAATCACCCCCCCACCCCCAGTAGTTTATATTTAGAAAGCAAGGAGTGAAGTAGAATGGTTGAACTAGAACATTTTTTTTTCCCCTCACCCGAGGACATTTTTCCATTTTTTGTTCAGATAGAGTGGGAAGGAGAGAGTGGAAGAGAGAAACACCGACGTGAAAGGGACACATTGAGTGGCTGCCTCTCACACGACCCAACAAGGGCAGGTGACAAACTGCAACCGAGGTACGTGCCTTTAGCAGGAACCAAACCCGGGTCTCTCTGCACCACAGGCCAACGCTCTAACCTCTGAGCCAAACCAGCCAGGGCTAAACAAGAACATTCTAACACTGGAGTCAGTATAAGCTTATTTAGACTTTGGGGCATAGTTTATAACATGAAAGTGGTTAAAAACTTTTTTAGCTGTCATATATATATATATTAAATATTGTTATATGTGTTCTCTAATGCCTCAAAACACATCTTTTAGAACACCCAGATTTCCTATCTTCTATTTAACAGATCACTTAATTTTAAAGAATAGCAATTGTAGAGAGTACTAATATTTTAGCCTGTTAGACTGTACAGCTTAATGTAAAGACTTGGCAGAAATCTAGACTATTAGGAAGCACCTGTGTTACCCACAGAACTAATTCATTCTCTTACAGGTTGTAGGAGAAATGTTCAGCCGTGCAGTTTAGATGAGTGTGTCTGGTAAAACACTAGCTGAAAAGGACAAGTTGGTTTACAAAATACCATGAAAGTAAAATTTTCTCCATCTGTCAACAGTTAGCTATGCAAGGGCAGATTGTAGTTCTCAGGAAGAAGCAAAAGTCATTCAATGTCAAATTATCAGGTGACTTCTCTCTTGATGTAAAATATCATCCACCTTTACCCAGCCCAGTGGTGTGTGAATTCATAAGACACAAAGCTATTCTTACAACAAACTTCATGGTTTGGTTGGTTTTCTAAAAATCATTATGACTGTGTGACAAGCTAGTAGTATAAACACTTTGGAAAACCACTAACCAAAGATGCAGTAGAAAATATTTACCCCAAACTCATTCCTTTGCAAAAAACTGAGGTCAAAAGCTCAGAACAAGTATTTATAACCACATTTGAGGTCACTCATTCTTTTTTAAAGACAGGTTACTTCTTTTTTTGAGGTTATACACATGAAGCCTCAATATAGCAAATGTTATCAATCTCATCCCCCCCCCCCCTTTATTCCTTTGGAAAAACAAAACTACATATGAAAGAAAAACAAAGGTCTAAAATGAGATTCAAAGCCTAAGTGACTTCAATGGAATTTTTTTTCTATTTTTCTGCTTCAGAACTTAGTCCTGTTAGTCAAAAGTTCCAAGAGACCCTGTTAACCTTTGCTACTGTTCCTTTCACAGCTTTGCCACGAGTGATGATGATGATGATGATATGATGGTTATTACTAACAACAATCACTGTCCCCACTTACAGGGTGCCGTTAGTGGGTGCTGAGTGCTTAACAAACATTTTCTTCAGGCACAATAACAGAGACAGACAGTATTTGACACGAACAAGCTGATACTTACCAAAACTAACTTAAAACAATACATTTTATTTATTTATTTTTTATTAATTAATTTTTGTTACAGATGTTTCTCCTTTTCCCCCCACTGACTCCCCCCTCCCTCTCCCTTCCTGCCCTTTCCCCAGTTTGTTGTCCATGTCCACTGTTCATGCATACCTGCATATAAGTTCTGTGGTTTATCTCTCCCCCACCACCCCCCTATTTAGGGGACTGTCAGTCTGTATCCCACTTCCGCGTCTCTGGGACTACCCCCTTCCTCAGACTTAAAACAATACATTTTAAAAAGTATAAAAAATAGGTATGATTTACTGAGGATCTACATGTGCCAGACACTACACCAAGGACTTTTCAAACATAAGTCACAACAGCCTTGTGAGGCATTCCCATCTCCATTTTACAGATGAAGAAATAAAGGTGCAGAATGCTTACAAAACAAAGCCAGAGTTTGAAGCTAGATCTTTCTAGTTATTAGGCTTTCTATCAGTCTTCCAAGTTATGACACTCACTTATTTCATAGGAATATAGGAACTCTAAGTGGAATTTGTGTGAGTTTTCGTAAATAACTGTATGATGATAAGGTATGATTTTCTTTTTTTTTTTTTAATTTTTTTATTCCCCCATTGACCCCCTCCTCCCCACTCCTGCCCCCCTCCTGCCTTTTCCCACACTGTTGTCTGTGTCCATTGATTATGCATATAAGTTCTTTGGTTTATTTCTCCCCCCCAACCCCCTTTCCTTTGAGGTTTGTCAGTCTAGCACCAATTTGTATTTCTTAATCCCTTCACCTTTTTCACCCATTTCCCCAACCCGCCTCCCATCTGGCAACCAACAAAATGTTCTCTGTATCTATGAGAATGTTTCTATTCTGCCTGTTCATTTTGTTTGTAGATTCAATTGTCAATAGATATGTATTATTGCCATTTTGTTTCTTTATATATTTTATATTTTTCTTCAAAAAGACCCTTCAACATTTCATAATAACGGCTTGGTAGTGATGAACTCCTTTAACTTTTTCTTGTCTGGGAAACTCTTCATATGACCTTCAATTCTAAATGACAGCTTTGCAGGATAGAGTCATCTTGGTTGTAGGTTCTTGCTTTTCATCACTCTGAATATTTCTTGCCACTCCCTTCTGGCCTACAAAGTTTCTTTTGAGAAATCAGCTGACAGTCTTATGGGAGCTCCCTTGCAGGTAACTAACTGCTTTTCTCTTGCTGCTTTTAAGATTCTCTCTTTGTCTTGAACCTTTTGCATTTTGATGATGATGTGTCTTGGTGTGGGCCTTTTGGGGTTCATCTTGTTTGGGACTCTCTGTGCTTCCTGGACTTGTATGTCTGTTTCCTTCACCAAGTTAGGGAAGTTTTCTGCCATTATTGTTTCAAATAGGTTTTCAATTCCTTGTTCTCTCCGTTCTCCTTCTGACACTCCCAAGATGCAAATGTTGGCACGCTTGAAGTTGTCCCAGAGGCTCCTTACATTATCCTCATTTTCTTGGATTCTTTTTTCTTTTTGCTGTTCTGATTGGGTGTTTTTTGCTTTCTTATATTCCAAATCAATGGTTTGCTTCTTGGCTTTACCTGCTTTACTATTGAATTTGTTTGTGCAAATTATTCTTTATTTTAGTTAGTGCCTCCTTCATTTCTGACTGGTTCTCTTTTATGCTCTTGAGGCCCTCACTAAGTTCACTGAGATTCTCACTAAGTTCATTGAGCCTTCTTATAAGCAGTATTTTGAACTCAGCATGTTAGGTTGCTTATCTCCATTTGCTTAGTTCTTTCCCTGGGGTTTTGTTCTGTTCTTTCATTTGGGACCTGTTTCTTTGTCTCCTCATTTTGGCTGCCTCCCTGTGTTTGTTTCTGTGTATTACTTAATGAGAGGTATGGGGCTATCTGAGACCAGATGCTGCTTGTTTGAATTAATTTAGGAAAACCTGAAGCAGGATCCAAGACAGGCCAATTAATTCTATGGTAAAGCAACTGGCAACAGCTTGGGTGGGCCTGAAAGTTGGGTGGGGCAGGGCCTCAGGGAATCACCAGGGCAGGGCAATCAGTGTGAGCCAGATATGGCAGCTGTCTGCCACCCCAGGGAAGGGGCTCGCCAAAGGAACAAAGGCCTCTGACAGCACTTTTGTCCCAGAGAAAGCCCCCTCTCCAGCCCTTGCTCCAATGCCAAACAGCTCAGTTCTTCTCTGTATGTCTCTGGCGCCCCTCAAGCTGCCTCCCCTCCAAGCTTAGAGGGAGGGAGTCCGATAAGCCCGTGCGCGGGCCCTTTAAGAGGAGCTGCCTGGGGCTCCAGCCGCTTCAGCCTCCCTGAGCCTCAGTTCCTGCTGGTTTTTCCAGCCAGAAGTTATGGGGACTCCTCTTCCTGGCACTGCAACCCTGAGTGGGGCACCTGGTGTGGGACGGGGACCCCTCAGTCCTCAGGGAGGACCTTCCCAGCTGAGGTGTCCTCCTGATTTTTATCCGCCACACATGGGTGTGGGACCAGCCTGTCAGCCTCCGCCCCTCCTACCAGTCTCGATGTGACTGCTTCTTTAACTCCGTAGTTGTAGGACTTCCATTCAGCTTGATTTCAGGCAGTTTTGAATGATGATTGTTCTGTAGTTTATTTGTAACTTTGATGTGTTTGTGGGAAGATGTGATACCGCGTTTACCTACGCCACCATCTTGACTGGAAGTCCCAATAAGGTATGATTTTCATGGTAAGGATAAAGATAAAGCCAGAGCTAATCACACCAACAGAGGGTACAGTGATACCTCAGTTCTCGAACGCCTTGACTTTCGACCAAATCGGTATTCGACCAGGAGATTCGAGAAACTTTTGTCTCGGAATCCGAACAAATATTTGGAACTCGAACTTCCGAGATGAGCCGAGTTGAGCCGAATGGCGTTCATTCGGCCCAGTGCGCCTTGCTTGCGTCATCAGTGTGAGCGCAGAGAGAGCGTCACGCTTTGTGGAGAGAGTCATGCTCTACACTGAATTTAACCCTTAGACATACTGTACACTTTTATTTCTTGTTGAGACTTATGTTTTTCTACATATTATATACAAATTAGGCCAGTAAATAGGCATTTTCTGGGGCTTGGAACAAATTAATCCAGTTTCCATTATTTCCTATTGGGTTTCATTGCTTCGGTTCTCGAACAATTTGGTTCTCGACCGTCCTCCTGGAACGAATTATGTTCAGTGAGTCGAACATAATTCGTTCCAGGAGGACGGTCGAGAACCAAATTGTTCGAGAACCGAAGCAATGAAACCCAAGCATGACTCCACAAAGCGTGACTCTCTCTCTGCACTCACACTGATGACGCAAGCAAGGCGCGCTGGGCCGAATGAACGCCATTCGGCTCAACTCGGCTCATCTCGGAAGTTCGAGTTCCAAATATTTGTTCGGATTCTGAGACAAAAGTTTCTCGAATCTCCTGGTCGAATACCGATTTGGTCGAAAACCGAGGCGTTCGAGAACCGAGGTATCACTGTACTTGTAAGACCTGCTTTGTCCACAAGTATCTCCTTCACAGGTCTGTAACTGATTTCCAAAGGCTCAGCATTAATAGCCCTGGCCGGTTTGGCTCAGCGGTTAGAGTGTCGGCCTGCGGTCCAGAGAGACCTGGGTTCAGTTCCCGCTAAGGGCATGTACTTTGGTTGCAGTTTGTCCCCGGCCCCGGTTGGGTGGTGCAGGTGGCAGCCACTTGATGTGTCCCTTTCACATTGATGTTTCTCTTTCTCTTCCTCTCTTTCCCTCCCACTCTATCTGAACAAAAAATGGAAAAAATGTCCTTGGGTGAGGATAAAAAAAAAAAAGAAATATTTCTCCTTTTTCCCTTTTCAGGAGGGGCGAGGGTTGGTTATGTTTTATCCCCCGTTTTGAAAATAAATCTCTAGAATAAGCCATTGGAATAAAATTATTAGCTGTTTTCCAACATATGCAGTTGAGAGATTTGAATATAACAGTAGAGGAGGGGAGAGTCCCTTGAATAGAAGTGTAGTTCAGTCCTAGGAAATGTGATCTGGAAACGGAGAGAGGAGTGATGAAAAAGATGGGAGGCCCTGCAGACAAACAATCTGATAGACAAGTTTGCTTTAGCTGGCTTCTGTAAGTTGGACAGGTGTTAAATTAGTTTGTCTTTCAAAAAAATGGCAATGTAATAAATGCTGTTTACTCTTCACCTTAGAAAAAGTCTTGGTCCGGACACTTGCCATATGAGTCAAGGGAAATCAAGGCAAATCTATTGTTGTTCAAAACTAACTGGCATGGGTACTGACTTATGCTCTCAGTAGAAATTAGTTCTAGCAAACAACCTAATGAAGTGGGCTACTAAAGTTTTAAAATTCAGTTTCACAAATATGTTCTGTGCACCTGAGGGTGAAATACAAAACTGAATAGAATGTGCTACTTGTTCTTAAGCAGTTCATATCAATAAAATAGCACAGATTTAGGGTATTAGAGTGCTATGTGACTATAGAAGAGGAAGACACTAAGATTCATCTACTGTACTTACATTCCCACTTAAGTGTTCATATAGGACCTAACACCTAGCATTTTCCACATCTCTATGTCCAAGGTGGTATATGAGGGAGCAGGAGCAACAGTCATTGAGAACTTTCTGACTGGAATAGTGATGAGATGGAGTAGAAAGTAATTTGCTTTCAGTAGTTCTTTCTACTTCTCTTTTAATATAAAGAATATGTATTTGATTTGTATATGCCTACCTAGGGTTTTATAATATTGTCTTCTTAGTAAGTTATTGGCATTTAAATATGTAATTACTGCCTAAAAGATGTTCAGTTCTTTATTTCTTTATCTCTGTTATTTTTTCTCATTAAACCACCCAATGACCCAGGTTTCCTATACCCCTAATGTATAACCCCCCAAAGGAGAACCAGGTAAATAGAAAAACAAAAACCACTTTCTTTTTTTTTTTGCCATCATTGAAACATAGAATTTATTATACAGGTGATGTTTTATACTCACTTTAGATTTTACCCAACAGTATACTCAAATGGATATTAACTTTTTTTTTCTTTCCATTTAGCATGCCAAGAATCAAGCACTACAAAGTGATGAGCGTAGGAAACAATTACACCATTGAACTGGAAAAACCTGTAAGTAGTATTTCCTTGCTGTGGATGAATATTCTTCTGCTTCCTTCCAAACTTACCTTATAGAACATAAAGAAAGGTGGGAACGTGGACTCCTTGTCTAGGAACACAGTGCTGGAGAAAAACAGCCATGTCAAGGAGCCCCGAGGGGCAGATAATCAGGGCAATAAGATGCAAGAGCAGGAGGATGAGGAGGACTAGAAGATAATCTGCTAAAAATTCTTTACACTTTTCTGTAAATCTTTGTCTATATAGTTGTTTCAGAGAGAGAAATATATTTTTTTAGGTAGTTGTTTTACATCCTCAAAATGAAGTATTTCACTGTGCTTATTTGTTTACATTTTTATTTTTTCATTAGAATTGACATTCAATATTCTTTTATATTAGTTTCAGATGTACAGCATAGAAGTTAGACATTTATATATGTCTAATATCCAGCTGGCACCATACAGTTACTACAATATTGTTGACTATATTCCTGATGCTGTACTTTATATCCTGTGACTATTTTGTAACTACCAATTTGTACTTTTTAATCTCTTCACTTTTTTCATCTAGCCCCCAACCCCACTCCCATCTGGCAACCATAAGTTTTTTCTCTGTGTCTATGAGTCTGTTTCTGTTTTGTTTGTTCATTTATTTTGTTCTTTAGATTCCACATATAAGTTAAATTGTATATTATTTGTCTTTCTGTCTGACTTACTTCACTTAGCATCATACCCTCTAGGTCCATCCATACTGTTTCAAATGGTAAGATTTCCTCTTGTTTATGGCTGAGTAATATGTACGATATCCATTGTATATATGTACGATTTATCCAGTCGTCTATTGATGGGCACTTGGGTTGCTTCCATATCTTGGTTATCGTAAATAATGCGTAATAAACACAGGGATGCAAATATCTTTTTGAATTAGTGTTTTGGACTTCTTCAAATAAAAATCAAGAAGTGAAATTGCTGGGTTACAAGGTAGTTCTATTTAATTTTTTGAGGAACTTTTTTTTTTTTTTTATCCTCACCTGAGGACATTTTTGCATTTATCTTCAGATAGATCAGGAGGGAGAGAGGGGTGAAGAGAGAGAAACATCAATGTGAGAGAGACACATCGAGTGGCTGCCACCCACACAACCCGAACCAGTGTTTGCAACAGAGGTATTTGCCCTTAGTGGGAACTGAACCCAGGACTCTCTGGCCCATGGGCTGACACTCTACTACTGAGCCAAACTGGCCAGGGCTTTTTTAGGAACTTTATACTGTATTCAATAGAAGCTGCACCAATCTGCATTCCCAACAGTGCATGAGGTTCCCTCTTCTCCACATCCTCATCAACACTTGTTGGTTTATTGACAATAGCCATTCTGATAGGTATGAGGTGATCTTATGGTTTAATTGTATTTCTCTGATGACATTGAGTATCTTTTCACATGTCTATTGGCCATCTGTATGTCCTCTTTGGAGAAATGTCTATTCAGTTCCTCTGCCCATTTTCCAATTGGATTGTTTGTTTGTTTTGGTGTTAAGTTGTATGAGTTCTTTATAAATTTTGGATATTAACTCTTTATTGAATGTCTTATTGGCAAATATTTTCTTCTAATCGGTAGGCTGTTTTCATTTTGTTGAAGGTTTCCCTTGCTCTGCAAACTTTTTTAGTTTGATGTAGTCCAATTTATTTTTTCTTTTGTTTCCCTTGCCCAAGGATGTGTGTGTGTATACATGTATGTATGTGTGCATATACATATATGTGTATATGCATGCATACATATATGTATATACACGTATATATATACATATATGTCTATGTACACATATATGTATATATAATATGTATACACACACACACACACGTTACTAAGAGCAATGTCAGATAGTTTATTACCGATGTTTTCTTCTAGTTTTATTATTTCAGGCCTTACATTTAAGTCTTTAATCCATTTTGGGTTTATTCACATGTAGCTGTTCAATGATCTCAACTCCATTTATTGACTAAACTATTTTTTTACCCCATTGTATATTCTTGCCTCCTTTGTCATTAATTCACCATATAGGCATAGGTTTATTTCTGGGCATTCTTCAATGTGCTTATTTCTAATGGGGGGAAAAAAAGCTGTGAATGCCTAGTCCTCTAATACCCATAATGCATTTTTGAAATCTCACTATTAATAGCAACATAATAGTAAAAAAAAGAATTTTGCCCTGGTCAGTGTGGCTTTGCTGTTTGGGCATTGTTCCGTGCACCAAAAGGTTGCTGGTTTGATTCTTGGTCAGGGCACATGCCCAGGTTGTGGGCTCAATCCCCAGCATGGGGCATGCAGGAGGCAGATGATCGATGTTTCCCTCACATCCATGTTTCTCTTTCCCTCTCCCTTCCTCTCTCTCTAAAATTCAATTAAAAAACCCCACTTTTTAAAAAAGGGTTTTGCTCCGAGGAAAACCCCAGATCCGCCCGGGGAACCGCTTGCCCGACTGACCAAACCGTTATTATATGAAATGATGAAGGGTCTTTTTGAAGAAAAAGATAAAATGTATGAACAAACAAAATGGCAATGAATACATATCTATCAACAATGGAATCTACAAACAAAATGAACAGGAAGCACAGAAACATTCTCATCGATACAGAGAATATTTTGTTGGTTGCCAGTTGGGAAGGGGGTTGGGGGAATGGGTGAAAAAGGTGAAGGGATTAAGAAGCACAAATTCATTGCTAGACTGACAAACCTCAAAGGGAAAGGGGTTGGGGGTGGGTGGGAAGAAATAAACCAAAGAATTTATATGCATAACCAATGGACACAGACAATAGTGTGGGGAAAAGGTGGGAGGGGGGCGGGAGGGGGGAGGAGGGGGTCAATGGGGGAAAAATGTGGAACATCTGTAATACATTTTACATCCAACAATAAAGATTTGGGGGAAAAAAAAAGGGGGTTTTGTCCTTGTCTGCAGCCCCTTCTCTACCCCAACCAATTTATCATAGGGCTAATGATATATCACAACCACTACATACTCCGTTAGGCACAGAGCAAGTATATTTTACGTACACCATCTAATTTATTTTTTATCACTATCCTGAGGCAATTTGGTTTTACAAGTGGGAAAACTGGCATTTACACTGGTCTCAACCAATGAGAATGTAGAAATGTGGCCCATGGTCCAGGATGCTGAAAAAGGGGGAGACAGACCTCTGATCTCAGCCTGTAGTGGTGGAAAGACTGGGCCAGAAAAGAAATACCACTTAAATGGAACGTATGGTGCTTAAAGATATTGACAATGTTTTCTAAAACTGAGCTTCTAGCTCTCCTGCCCCTCCACACCCACTGTGTTAATCACACAGAGAAAGAGTCAGTATGGTTGAATTTTTGTTTTGACCACAACCCTTAGAATGCAGTAGTGACCTTTGCCAAGAGCAAGGCAGCTGCTGATTCATATACTCCACTTACCTTTGCTATAAATGCTTCCCACAGCTTCTCCATTTTCAGGTCCATGCCTAATTGGGATTTAAAAATTCTAATGAAGGAAACAGAGAACTAGATTGTTGAAGGCTAATCCAAATAACCAAATGAATGGAAGCAATGGTCAGGGAAAAAGAATGTGTCTCTGCAAGTGGTGAACTGGGGCTCATTTATCTCTCATTAACCCAAACAGTTCCCAGTGTAAGGAAAGCTAACAGCATGGATTATTCCTTCACCTTTCACACTTCCTCAACCAGGTTGCCACTTTCTGAACTTTTTTTCCTCTTCAAGGTTACTGGGGATATTTAGCTTTAACCTGATTTTACTTGTATAAAAATATTGGGAGTAGCAACATATTTCATGTTATTCCTAGCCAAGTAATTTATCCTGTTACAATGAGATATTAAAATGCTAATTTCTGTTTGTTTCAAGCAGAAGAAACCAATTTTAAATTTAGCAAAAATAAATTTAAGAACATAGGAAGCACATAGCATGACTGGAAGGCTAGAAAACCAGGGACTAGGAAGCAGTTACTTATAGTAAAAACCATCTGATTTAGGAATATATGATCCTTCCTTGTTCCTCTACTCAAGTTCAAATTTCAGGAAGGGAGCATTTCTGACCAGGCTCATGTAAAAACTAGAAAAGGGCAGAGTACCTAGTTATTGTCCAGCCAAATGTATCCAATGGGAAAGGGGTAATTCCTCAACAGGAAATCAGATATGATTATAAAGGAGAAAAAAAATGCACAGGTAGGCAAAACCATTCAGTAAACCAGTTCTCTGGAGGTCGGGAATACACAAATCTCCATTAAGTTTCAGTGAGCTTTCTCTTTGTCTTTACACAAGTGACTCTGAGCCTTCCTTCTTTCACTCTTTATACAGGTAACACTCCCAAACCTTTTTAGCGTCATTGATTATTTCATGAAGGAGACTCGAGGAAATTTACGACCATTTATATCTTCAACTGATGAAACCCTCGGTATGTTCATTTCATTGCTGTATTAAGGAGAGTAAAGCAAAGCAAACAAAACCCTGTCTATGATTTGTAATACCTACCAGGTAGCACTGTAGTTCTTTTAAATTTACCCATTTAGAAATCATTTTGTCACTGACCCTGTGAAAATAAGTAAGTACCAATATATCCTGGTGGATAGAGAATGGGCCCATTCTAGAGAAAGAAAAACCTGAGATGTATTATGACTATTAACTTCACTGTATTATTCTACTTGGCTTTATCAAACAAATTCAGAGATAAAAAGAAAACCATAATACAGAGTCATGGAAACCAAACAGGAAATTCAAGGTAGGGTCTGTCAACAGTGTCAGATGCTCTAGACACATCAAAATGGATAAGGATTAAGGAGAGACTATGGGGCCCAGCCGGTGTGGCTCAGTGGATTGAGTGTCGTCCCATGGACTGAGAGGTCCCAGTTCAATTCCTGGCCAGGGCACATGCCTGGATTGTGGGCTCGATTCCCAGTAAGAGGGGGCGGGTGTAGGAGGCGGCTGAGCCATATTTCTCTCTTCCTTCCTCTCTCTCTAAAAATATCAATACAAATTAAAAAAAAAAAAAAAAAGATTACGAGAATTGGCCACTAGGTAGTAGATAACTTGAGAAAGAGGTCTTATTCCACCATAAAAGCAGAAGTCAGAGTATAAGATAACAAGAAGTGAGTGAGTGGATGGTAAGAAACTACAGATAGGGCAGAACTAACTATAGAATTTGTGGGGCCCCTTGTTCATAAATAGTTAAGAATTTTAAAACAGTGATAGCAGATCATTAAACCAAGCATGGAACCCTGTGCAACTACAGTTTACATGACCAGGAAACTGGCCCTGTTCTTCCTCATTTTTTCTGGCAGAGGAGGGCAGGATGAGTTTCTCTCTATCCTTTGAAACAATACTCGGTGCATGGTCACTTGATAAGGCATAAGTTTTAAAACATGGCTATAACCCTGGCCAGTTTGACTCAGTGGTTAAGCTTTGGCCTGCGATCCCACGAGACCCGGGTTCGGTCCCTGGTTCCCACTAAGGGCACGTACCTCGGTTGCAGTTTGTCCCCGACCCTGGTTGGGTTGTGTGGGTGGCAGCTACTCAATGTGTCCCTTCACTTTGATGTTTCTCTCTCTCTTCCTCTCTCTCCCTCCCACTCTTTCTGAACAAAAAAATGAAAAAATGTCCTCGGGTGAGGATAAAAATAAGAAAAAAACAAACAAAAAAACCCCACATGGCTATAAATCTTGTGATGCCAAATAATTAAAACAACTCAAGAGTCTGCAGGAACTTTAGGAAATTAACCAGTACAGTGTTTTAGTATTAGAGGAATCACCTGCACACTCAGTACAGAAACCAACTCTAAAATGTGAACCTTCAACTTGTTTGAAAATGTCTAATTATAGTCTCCTTACTGATTTTTGAGGCAGCACAGTTGACTTTGGTTAGCTCTCATATTAGAGAATTCTTTCTAATATTGACTATGAAATATTCCTTCCTTTAACTTCCACATATTAATACAATTTCTAGCTTTGAGACAACACAGGGTTTAGCCACATGGCCCCTCCCAGTCTGTTATCCATAAATGACTGGTTCCTCCCACTCTCATCTTTGCCTGTCTCTGTACACTAATTTCTGGGCATCTCTCATAAAACATAAGCACAAGGGATGAATACATTACTATAGATATGGCCAGCATAATAAATTACCCGAGCTTTATGCAGGTAGATACCACCTAACAGAAGCCTCTGGGAATGAGCTATTAATACTAGTAATAAACTTTTTTATTTTTATTTTTCAGAGACCAAAGGATTTCCTGTAACATCTCTAGAATAAAAAAACAGGGTGGGGGAAATCCAATGTAATTTGCCTCCTCCATCGATGATACTGTGTAAATAACCACCCCCCAGAATAACATGGTGGTTAAATCAACAAACCTTTTATTTGCTCATGATTCTGTGCATCAGCAATTTGGAGTGAACCACTTTCTTCATGAGAACTCTAATCCTTGGGAAAGTTAGCTTAGTCTCTCACATGAGATCTCAGAGCAGTTGAGAGAAAGATCTTCATGTCCTTGGGCTAGAAATTCTTAATGTTGAGAATAAAGTTCAGAAAATCCTCTTAATTCATCGACAGGCCCTGCACTTTTTAAGCAAAAGAATGTTTAACAAAACCAATTTTATCGTTGGCTAATTGATATAAACAAGAGTTCTGTTCGACATCTCATCAACATTGTAACAAAAGTACATTGAACTAAACCACAAGGAGGACCTGTCTTCTTGGAGCTTTTAATATAGGAGAAGCTGTGAAGTGAATAAATCTAAGTGTGATTATGTTGTATTTACAGGGGGCTATACTTCTTTCTTTTAAAAAACTATTATTTAATTTATACAATAAAAGTTCTGGTGTACAGTCCTATCAGTTTTGACAACTACCACCAAAATCAAGATACAGAAAGTTCTATCACTTCAAAAAACGCCATCATGTTCTTCCTTTTGTAGTCAGCCCTTTTTATTGTCAATCTCTGGCAACCAACATTTTCCTACAGTTTTGAATTTTCCAGAATGTCATATAAATGGAATCCCAGTATGGAGTCTTTTGAGACTGATTTCTTTCACTCATCATAATGTCTAGATTCACACTAATACATACTACTAGCTTGTTCATTTTTTTTTTTTAAGTCTGAATAGTATTGCACTGTATGGAGATACCAGTTTGTTTATCCACCCACCAATTTAAATGTATTAGGGTTGTTTTCAGTTTTTGGCAATTAATTGATATCAATATTATACCGATTTTTGTGTGAACATGAGTCTTCATTTCACCTGGATATTTAGGAATGAGATTAAGTATATGTATGACTTGATAGGAAATTGCCAAACTCTTCACAAATGGTCCCTTTTGCATCTCTGCTATCCATGTCTGAGTTCTAGACCAGCACTTGATAGCATCATTAAAAAACAAAAAAGATTCTAGTAAGTGTGTAATGGTCTCACTGTGGTTTTAATATGCAGTTCTCTAATGATTATGATTAATGATGTTGAACATCTTTTTATGTTTTTTCAATCATATACTCAATTTGGTAAAATATCTGTTTAAACCTTTTGCCCATATTTCTATTAGGTTGTTTTATTATACTTGAATTTTGACACTTCTCTGCATGTTCTGATATGGTCCTTGATCCGATTATGTGATCTGCAAATATTTTGTTTGCTTCTTTATTCTTTTAACAGTGTCTTGCAGAGCAGAGGTTTTCAATTTTGATGAAGTACAAATTGAACAATTTTTGTTTACTTTTGGTGTATCTGATAACTCTTTAACTAACCTAAGACCACAAAGATTTTTTCCCGTGTTTTTCTTCCATAAGTCCTATGTGTTACATTTAGGTCTATGATCCATTTGGAATTTTCTGTTTAAGGTGTGAGGGATGCATCAAAGTTAATTTTATTGGCAAATAGGCATGTACTTGTTCAGTACCATTTGTTAAAAAAAAAACCTTTATTTATTAAATCACTTTTGCAGCTTTGTAAAAAATCAACTGACCATATTTTTTGTGGATCAATTTCCATTTATCTATGTTCCTACCCTTTGCCAATACCATGCTAGCTTTGTTATTCTATTTTTACAGTGCTTCTTGAAATCAGGAGGTATGAGTCCAACTTTAATCTTTTCAAAATTGTTTTCACTAATCTAGTTTCTTTGCCTTTCAGTATAAGTTTTAGAATGAACTTGTTATGTATAGTAAAGTCCTCCTGGGTTTTGATTTGGGTTTTCCCACCTATAGATTATTCCAGGGAGGAATGACAGAAGGATGAGTTCTCTCTTGGGGTTTTAGGCACTCATGCTACCACAGCTACAGTGCAGCGCCTTGACCAGGGGCCATCTTCAGAGCAGGAGCGGAAAATACAAAAAATGGAAATTACCAAAATGACAAAATACCAATACTTTTAGAACTAGCCAGATTACTATTGCTCTCGTGGCTGAACTGGTTCAGCTTGCTCTGTGATCAGAACAAATAACTCAACTTCCAATCATGGATCTCAGATTAGGAAACAACATATGAACAGATGAAATTAGGGGGACACTTGGAGAGAGACTTCAAATAATCAGACTATCTTCTATAGAATGATGTATTTTTCTTTCAAAAGCAGAAAGATAATGGAAGAGTATATGAGTGAAAATAGAACTTTCTTTCTTTTTTTAATCCTCACCCGAGGACATTTTTACATTTTTCACTCAGATAGAGCGGGAAGGAGAGAGAGGAAGAGAGAGAAACATCGATGTGAAAGGGACACATCGAGTGGCCGCAACCCACACGACCCAACCAGGGCCGGGGACAAACTGCAGCCAAGGTACGTGCCCTTAGCGGGAACCGAACCCGGGTCTCTGTGGACAGCAGGCTGACGCTCTAACCGCTGAGCCAAACCGGCCAGGGCGAAAATAGAACTTTCTAAGAAAAACTACAAAAAGGGCAAAATCTATCTTGATAAATAGTGCTGAAGTTTTAAGAAACCTGTGGGGAGCCCTACAGTTGTTTCAGGAGTTTGGACTCATAGCTGACTGGGGTACAGTCAAAATGCTAGCGCCCTTAGCTTTAAGTTACCTTGAGTTGGGAAATGGGAGTTATAAAGTGCTAAGGGTTAAAATCAGGAGGCCTAGAGATAGTTAAAGAAAATGTGATTTTTGTTTCATGTTAATCATGTCAGCTTTCTCTCTTGACACAAGAAGGCAAGAGCAATGATGGAACCAGAATAAAGATATTACACCTCAATTTATTTTTCCCATCTTCAGAAATTAGCAGTATAAACTAAAAGCCACTTTAAAATATGGTAGGGTAGGTAACTGATATTAAGGTAACCAGAAAGAATAAAATGCTCCCTGGAGAAAAATTTATTAGGAATCAAGATACAAGTAAAATATAAAATAAAAATTTTTTAAAAAACATCTGAATAGTCAGTGTTTAATTAACTAACATTTATTAAACACACCACCAATATTCCAAGTACAAGCAGAAAAATCAATTCATGTTGCAAATCAATAACTACCCTGTTTCTTGATAATGAATCTTTATTTATTATTATTATTTTTTAATGGATATTTTTACATTTATCTTCAGAGAGTGGGAAGAGAAAGAGAGGGACATCGATGTTAAAGAGACACATCAACTGGTTGCCTCCTGCACGACCCCATCCAGGGCCAGGGACCTAACAGTAACCAAGGTACCTGCCCTTGACCGGAACCAAACCCTCAACTCTTTGGTCTGTGGGCTGACACTCTAATTGCTGAGCCAAACCAGCAAGGGAAATAATGGATCTTTATTTAATGAAGATTTTCCACCCAATTACTAGGCCAAGAACCTGCCACAGAAAAGTGGAGAGAGAGTTTCAGAAAAATCCGCCCTGGCCAGTTTTGCTCAGTGGTTAGAGTGGTCGGTCTGCAGTCCAGAGAGACCTGGGTTCGGTTCCCACTAAGGGCACATACCTCGGTTGCAGTTTGTCCCCGCCCGGCCCTGGTTGGGTTGTGCGGGTGGCTGCCACTTGAAGTGTCCCTTTCACGTCGATGTTTTTCTCTCTCTCTCTTCCTCTCTCTCCCTCCCATTCTATATGAACAAAAAATGAAAAAAATGTCCTCAGGTAAGGATAAAAAAAAACAAAGAAAAAGAAAAATCTACATATTGCATGAGATAAAATGGGGAACCCATCTTCATAAATCTTGGTAATTCATTATTTTCAAAAGGCAGATCTTACTTTTAAAGATAACCACCTCTATTTTCCTGATGCTAATTATCAAGTTACTGACCTGGACACCAGAATTAACACTAGCATACAATTCATTACCTTAGCAGAATTAAACCGTACTTTGGAAAACCATGGAATACGTCTGTAAGAGTAACCTGTAGATATATACATTTCCGTACACTGATATAAGATGAAAACATATGGTCCTTTTTATGTATGTATGTATGTATGTATGTATGTATTTATTTTTATCCTCACCCAAGGACATCCCTCCACCCTTTGTTCAGATAGAGAGGGAGAGGGAGAAAGAGAGAGAGAGAGAGAGAGAAACATCAATGTGAAAGGGACACATCGAGTGGTCGCCACCCGCACGACCCAACCAGGGCTGGGGACAAACTGCAACCGAGGTATGTGCCCTTAGCGGAAACCGAACCCGGGTCTCTCTGGATGAAGGCCGACGCTCCAACCGCTGAGCCAAACTGGCCAGGGCCATATGGTCCTTTTTAAAGGAAATTTTTAGTTTCCCAGGGTTTAATTAAATATATTTTCCTCTATATAATTTACACAGAAGATTCTCTTTTTACTTAAAATAAAGGGTGGGGGGTTTAAGGTCTGATTTGACCAATTTATCAAGCATAAGTCATTCAAATTATCTAGCTAGAGAACAGAGACATGAAATGTACTAGGAGAAGCCCTTTTCCAATAGAAATGTTCCATACCACATTTTTGTACTGGAAATAAAATGTATCCATTTCTACGTTTTCCCTTATGTCTTTTTGCTATCTTCAAATCAAACCGTAGCTTCTTTAGTAAAAACATTAATCTATAAGGATGGTAAAAGCATATGTACGTAATCACCCATTTCAGAAGTACAACACAGTATGAGACTGATTATAATCTTGAAAGTACTGACTGCTTAACTCTACACTACATCTACTAAATCAAAACCTCAGGGTATTTTTTCATATTATTTTTCTTGAGAAGGAAGCTTCTAAGTTGCTTTTGATGGTCATTCAACTTAGGAATCACCTGTGTAATTAACTAAGAATCAAAACGTATGGCTTATATTCTACTCCTGGTTCTAACCATTTGGATGTTCAGCCACTTTGATTTCCTTAACTGCAAAACTGAAGGAATTAGAATGCATTCCTAAGGTCTGCTTAGCTCCAACATCTTACAAAGATATGTCTTTATAAGAAGAGATTAGGACACAGAAGAAAAAATATGAGACAGAGGGAGAACACAACCATCTACAAGCCAAGGAGAGAGGCCTCAGAAGAAAGCAAACCTGCTCTCGGATTTTTAGCCTCTAGAACTGTGAGAAAATAAATTTCTATTGTTTAAGCCATTCTGTACAACTTGTTATGGTAGTTCTAGCGAACTAATTCAACCAGTGATTTGGGACTCCTAAAAATAAGCAGAATCCTAAACAACCCTCAGAATTAAAAGTTTACCATACACAATAAAGTTGGCAACCTACCTCTATAAAATCTGTGATTTCAAGTGCATTAACAGATTCAAGGACTACAAAAGATCAATCTAATCTATATCTTATTCCCAAGTATCTTACAATTGAGTTAGTCCAAATATAG